TAAACACCGTGGCATTGAAAATGACGCCCAACAGTTGGCTCAAGCTCTGCAGCGGGGCACCTCAATAGAATGAACAGAAGAAATGTTGATCCATTGTTGGTGATTAATATCCAAGAAGATGATACTAATAATATCGATCTGTCTATCTACAGTTCTATAGTTCTATCTATATTAATTGTTGATGATGGATATTCCTCATAACTAAAAAAAGATCAGAAAAGGACGCTGTGCGCCCGTGCGTTTTGCACTGTTTTCCTTGCAGTGTGTTTTGCAGTGTTTTCCTCTTGCAGTGTTTTCACATCATCAAAGGGCCACAATAGGCCACAATATGCCCAAATATGCCAAAATAGGCCACAAAGGTCTAAATAAACAAAAAACAAAAAAGACCAAAAAGACCCAAAAAAAAGATTTCTAGAGACTGTAGGCATTGGGGGCATGTCTTTGTTTTTTTTATTATTATTTTTGTTTTTTTTGTTTTTTTTTTGGTCTCCTAGGGGCCGACCTATCTTCGCTCTCCCGGTTTCTCTGTCTACAGGGCCGCCGCCGGCCTCTTTCGGGTTGCCACGTTAGTTCTTCGGATACTTGTCGTTGGCATTTCCCGGAGATTCGCGTTCCAAAACAAGATACTCTCTTCAACCCAAAATTTGTGGCTACAAGGCCGAAGGCCATTCAAAATGAAATTCTTCCTACGAATCCATGCGTTGAACACTTCACTCATATTAGTCCTTACATCCTTAAATCGGTTGGCCTCACTCCGCGTCAGCTTGCATTTCTTGCATTTGCGGTTGCCCCGGTGGAACTCATCTACGATGAAGTGCTTGATGTTTTTAAAATGTTTCTTCAAAAACTGGTGCCGATGAACATGAGCTTCAAAATGACAAGCGTCATCGTGGATGATGGCATTGGCGTTGACTTTTTTCATCTTCATGGCTGCCCTAACTACCTCCACCTTGTCTGGCGAACATTCGTTGACCAAATGCTCCTTTGCTGCTAGGACTCGACGACTTTTGGGATCGATAACGAACTGCCATCCGGCCGTGCGATTCTTCATGGTAACTCTTTGCTTGGCCTTGTTCGCGCACGTGCATGTACGTTGTTCTTGGGTATACTTCTTGCGGGGTCTGCCTCTGCATCGAACCGTTCTAGGTGCTTCTCCCCATTTTGGGTTGAGGTTGCGATGTACACCGAAATGACCATCAAAACTGAGGACACAGACGCTGCTGGGGGGGGGTCAAGGGTCATTGGCGCAGAAGTGGGCGCAAAGAAGCTTGATGGGTCATCTACTGGAAAGGGTACCACCTCATCAGGAGACCTTTGTGCAATGGCATATCCTTCCAACGCTCTCAAAAGATGATGTCGAAACCATCTAGGTCCTATAAGATCATCATGAAGGGGTCCATCAACCATGGCTCGTACACTTGATTCTTGTCCTGGTGCAAGGTTACCTCGAAGAAGACGATAGTAAAACATTTGGAGGTACTTCATGGTGAACCCGAAACCATGCGTAACCATGTACACCTTCATGTCCTGCATTTGGCGGAAACTTATCGTGTTGACCTTGACGGAGTCCACATATGCAAAGTTTGCCCGATAGGTTTTGACACAAAATGGTTCTTTGCACTCCTTCCTCAACAGGTACGCCTTTTCCACAACCTCACTGCCCACGATGGTACATTGCACTGGGGTATCCAAGAACTTGGTGTATAGTTTTTTCTTGCATACTCCACACTCACTTCCTGGATACACATGAAGGGGGCCCTGTAGAGAAAGAGTAGGGGAAGTAGCAGCAGGCCTCTTCAGCAGCGGCATTCCCTGTACTATTGGTAGTACACACCTATTCCAACCACTGAAGCCTAAAGCAACTTGATATGAAAGATTTTCAAAGAAACTGCACCCCAAGTCAACCTCAAACTAACTTGCAGCCACAAACACATATGCAACCACACAGCCACAAAATAGAAGGCAATGCAAAGGAACTGTGCAAAGCAAATACTTTTTTGCTACGCGCCAGTGTACTATTACTGCTATACCTCCGCAATTTCGTTGCAGCACACTGTAGGCAAACCACACAGCGTTCCCGGCTCTCCACTAAAGCAGTCAAAACTTGTCCACAGCACAATGTATAAGCGTGACACTATATAACTATGAAATCATACATGCACAAGTACTAAGATCTATATGATATATATATGCCTTAAAATCATTATATGGCTATGGTTTAAAACCCCGGTGCCCAGCTAGCAACCCAAGTACTAACTTAAATACATTATATAGTAAGAAAATGCTATATATCATCCCTTTAAAAAAGGAACCAGGGGTTTTGAACCATAGCCATCTTCCAATTATGTTGTGAACCTTTGCGCAACTACTTGGCATCACTCAGTCGTCTACGCGTTCGTGTCGACATCCTCCTCATACTCCTCTTCCTCTGGGATCTCAGGGTTATCCAAGTCAATGAAGGAGTGACGGGCTCGCAGTTCTCCACTCCACGCCTTGGCCTTCTTCAGGACATCCTTTGCCTTCTCCTCCTCACGCTCCCTCTTTACCTTGACCCTTTCCCTCTCACCTACCTCCATTCTGTCTGTGGCACTGGGTTCTGCTGCGGGACGGTCACCAAACAAACCTTGTCGAATTGCTACAAGTCTCTCTTCTTGTTCCTTGTCTTGCTTGGTTGCCTTCCTTCTTTTAAGGATTTTTTTCATGATCATCTCAATCCACTCCTGCTCTTTCTGAATCTCCTCCTCGAAACATTCAGGCATATCCTTTTCGCCATCCTTAAACCTCCCATAGACCTGTTTCCCTTCATAAGTGAGGTACTCAGAAATTGGCATGGAAATACGGCGCACGGGGTCCTTGTTGATTCTTGCCGGGCGGTAGTACAGGTGCTCCTTGGAGTTCACTAAGAAAGCACCACGTTTGAAAATTGCGTCCATGTGTGCGGGGGTGGCTTGTTCAGTGAAAGCGGGGCGGATGATCTTCCAAAAGGTTTCAAAGGAGACTTCATTCATGAAGCTTGGGGGCAATGGCACTCCGTCGTCATAGCTATTGTCTGCTACTGCCCTGGGTTCGTTCTGAACCCACTTTGTTGCCCCCCACCTAGCCCATGCCATAGGTTCGTACAATCCCACGTCAAGAAAGGCCTTCACCATCTTCATACTCAACAAGGACAAAGATGTATCATCAAGGAAGTCTCCCATGAGGATGGATCCGGGCTCACCTCTCAAGAAGTCAATCTCTGGAGTACAACGGATACAAGGGGAACCTTCTGCCTTGAAGCGAGTCTTATTGTGCCGTGCTTGTGCCATCAAAATACTTCTGCCTAAGGGGCTCTTGCCTACTCCTGCCTCACCTAGACGCAAAAGGGCCGATTGATCAAAGTCCCACATCTCCTCCAAGATCTTCATCAACCAAGGCTGGTAGTACCGAATGGTCAGGGGGATAGGCCAATTGAATTCCTTCCGGGCCAAGGCACCGTCCGTGGATAAGTTGCGCAGAGCTTTGTCAACCAAAGCCGTAGGCCAACCATAGATGGGGGAATCAACCTTCCTGGTGTTCTTGGTTTGCCATCGAAGTTGGGCATTTTCAGAGGCGGACCTAGGGCCATACTTGAGGATATAGTCAAAACCTGCATCAATTTCATCATCGTCTTTGTCTTCAAATGCACCTGCCTTTGCGGGTTTGCGGGTAGCGGCACTGGACTGCGGCACTGGACAACTCAAAGCATTTGAACTGGCGACCTCCTAGTCCTTCAAGACAGTACTGCAAAACCTTTCTTCCAACTTTGGGGTTTTGGGTCATCCATTTGGCGCGGTAGGGGGTGCCGTACACAAGGGAGCGAACCATATTGGGTTTAACCTTCTCTGGGCAAGTCATATGCTTCAAGATGGCATGGTTGCTGTCTGTATCTTTCAAGATGACGATTTGCATACGGGTGTCGGGGGAGACTTGCTTCTTGAGGCCGAAGGGATCTGGTAGTAGCTGTAGGTCATGTCTGTCGCAAGCATTCTTGTAGGCTTTTCCCAAGGCATCAAAGTCAATCGCATTTTCATACCCAAAGATGATGTCATAGAAATGGACCATTGGGGACTCCGATGTGTTGAAATCATCCTTCGGGAAGGCATCCCATTCAAAAGAACCTCTGGGTAGCTCAGGAGAAACACTAGCAGGAATGCTGCGTAATGTTAATCCTTCGGTTACTTCCTTCAAATCGTCATACGTCATATCTTCCGCTTCCAAAGGCATGACGGGCACACGCACCAAGTAGCTTAGAAGGATAGGGCACGAACTACGGACTGGAGCATAAATATACATACATAATGTGACAAGTCATGCGATACAACCTGCAGCAATGAGAACATGTCTTAAAACTCATTATATAGGGACTTTGTCAAAAATAGTGATTTATATGGAAATTTCACGGGCGTGGGGCGTCCCCTCTCAATAAGATATACATCTAACTCATCTACAACTTAGGGCATCTAGGGCACTCACTTATACGATATAGAGACATTAAACTATATGTATATCCATTGCCAATCTTAGATACCCTGCAAAAAATAAATTCTTTGCTGGTTAGTAGATATTCCCATTAATACCAAAAGACTAAAGGATTAAAGTCTCCATGTAAGATTGACCTAGACCTTGGATAAACTCCCAACTGTTTCTATCCCTATAACAATCCCTGCTGTTGATGGTAAAACCCTGTTATTATCCCATTATACTAATCATTATACAATATATATATTTATATATACACATATAAAATGCATATTAATGTATCCCAAAAAATCGCTTCTGCGGCCTCCACAGAAACCAACCAGAGATGATTTCCCGACAGCCGACAAGCGCGACAAGCGCTCGAAAAACCGAACTGCGCCTCGGCCTTCACAAAACTCCAGGCCAGGTTATAGATGTGTTGGTCGAGCACCTGAGACTGCAACCGTGTTGCGCAGGACGTCGTTCTAGACACGTCACCAGTTTACTGATGGTTTTTTTACCCGAAAAAACATCGAAGAATTGTATAAGAACAATTATATGGATTTTTTCTGATTTTTGATTTAAAGAAGGTATGAAGAATGATTTATGGGATGACTGACATGAGGAAGCTATCTGATTAGAATGTATTCTTGGAATTCCTCCAAAAATGGCTCATGTTTAGCTACTTACTCTAGCGACTTAGCGCGGCAAAGAAATTCATCTGAAATTTCCCAAGGTTCAAGGGAATACCCTCTGGTAAACGTTTACATAACTATGGGAAATCACCATTTTCAATGGGAAAAAACATTATTTCTATGGGCCATTTTCCAGTTCAGCCCTGGCTTTCCACCCACATGGAATCCAACAAATTGTTTTGAAAGATGAGAAAAACCCTCTTGAAACAATGGCAGTTTGATCAGTTCCCAAAGGTGAAAACCCATAAATACCAAATAATTATGAGAACAATGCCGATCCAGCCGACACACATCCAGGATTTCTGTTTCAACATCTGGAAATTCAGATGACTTCGACACTGCGACTTCAGATTTCTTGGAAGTGGATTGTGGGTTGAATCTTTTGATATGTAGTCCATTCTTTCGGCAGATAATTCCGTGTGTTTTTGATAGATAACGCACCCTCTCTTGCTAAATCTCCCATTCCCATTCCTGCTTGTCAGCATCATCTTACGAATCGTAATTGCTGAAAAACAAACGAGTTAGTAATTCCCCATATCAGTGGGGATATCCCTTTGATAATTGGAGGTTTCCTGAAATGGGGGTAACCCCAGTCATAATCCATCTTATTTTCGGATTTTCCATTCTAAATCATCCAGCAATTGGGGTACCCCCATTTCAGGAAACTACCAGATTTCCTAAACCAGATTACCTTGGCCATTTGGGTATGATTTCCCCTAACCATCAGCAACAATGTTGGTTTATAAACCCTATTAACTATTGTTATATATAGTTATATATAGTTATATCATGTTATATCTACCATAAACCATACTTAACCTAGTTATGAACCCTCATTTATAAATGATTATCCCATATTTTCCATATGTTCTCATGATTTATAGGGTGTTTTTCCATGGTTTTTTCCATTCAATGACCCCAGAAAAACCAGTTGATCTGCACGATCCGTCCCCAAGGCGCAACAGCATCTCTTGTCGCTCGAAGTTCCAGGCCTGACGGGCTTTTGAAGCAACAAACGGTGGGATGTATCGTGATGTATTCCCAATAATCTGAGTAAAACAAATATAATCAATATTCAATACTATAGATGGTCAATTATAGTCAATAAACTAATAATGATGTATCCCCAATATATGAAGTGGGATATATATATATTTATATATGATGTATGATGTATCCCCAATAATGATACCATTAGCTATGTAATTCTTATCAACCAATGGATGATTTTTTAAATTCCAATATTAGCTAACTGTATAAATGATTTATGTTAGCTAAATTTTTTGATTTATGACTAGGTGAACTTGGATTCATACTAAGTGTATCTATGTGAAGCAGCTTGTACTGGTGGTTGGGCCACCTACCTGAAAGATATGCGAAAGTTAATGCAAATCAACGTCTTACCTCATATTAAAAATTAAGAACAAGATGAACGCACCAACCAGAAGAGTTAACTGTGCTAAATTACCAAACTCCAGTTGGTTTACTTCATTTTGTGATGTTTAATCTCGCAAGATTTTGATGGTGTCGGTGAAAGGGGAAAGAACGCCAACAGGGATGCCGCCTTTTTAAGGGTAATCAAAGAACATGACATGTTGTCCAGCAAGATCAAGTTCTTCATCTACTAATATATTTGTGTATGTATGTATGTATGTATGTATGTCTGTGTGTGTATGTATGTATGTATGTATGTTTGTACGTACGTACGTACGTACGTAGGTATCTATCTATCTATCTCTCTATCTATCTATCTATCTATCTATTTTTCTATCTATCTATCTATCTATCTATTGAACTATCGATCTATCTATCTAGCTATCTATCTATTTATCTATCCATCTATCTATCTATCTATCTAATTTATCCATCTATCTATGCAAAACACGTCCACCAAAACAACGAGTTTAGTGGGCAGCAGTTGGCTGTCAAGTGACCAAAGATGGGATTGTGATTTTGACCAACAAAAGTTCAGGCAGATAGATAAGATAAGATAAAGATTAGGTAAGATCAGATAGGTAGATAGATAAATGGATAGATAGATAGATTAGATAAATTACATAAAATAGATTAGATTAGATTAGATTAGATCAGTTCAGTTCCGATCAGATAGATAGGTAGATAGATAGATAGATCGATAGATCGATATCGATAGATCGACAGATCGATAGATCGATAGATAGATCGATCGATCGATAGATAGATAGATAGATAGATAGTTCGATAGATAGATAGATAGATAGATAGATAGATAGATAGATCGATATATATATATATATAGAGATAGATAGATAGATAGACAGACAGACAGACAGACAGATAGATAGATACATTAGATAAATCAAATAAAATAGACTAGATTAGATTAGATCAGTTCAGTTCAGATCAGATAGGTAGGTAGATAGATAGATCGATAGATAGATAGATAGATCGATAGTTCGATAGAAAGATAGATAGATAGATAGATAGATTAGATTAGATTAGGTTAGATTAGATTAGATTAGATTAGATGAGATTGGATTAGATTAGATTAGATTAGATAGATAGATAGATAGATATACAGATAGATATACATATATATATAAATAGATAGATCGATAGATCGATAGGTCCATAGATCGATAGATCGATAAATCGATAGATAGATAGATAGATAGATAGATAGATGGATAGATAAATAGATAGATAGTTAGATAGACAGATAGTTCGATAGATAGATAGATAGATCGATAGATTAGATTAGATTAGATTAGATTAGGTTAGATTAGATTAGATTAGATTAGAATAGATAGATAGATAGATAAAATATGATAAAATAAGATAAGATAAGATAAGATTAGATAAGATAAGATTAGATAAGATTAGATAAGATTAGATAAGACTAGATAGATAGATACATAGATAGATAGATAGATAGATAGATAGATACAAAGACAGACAGACAAATAAATAGATAGATTAGATTAGATTGGATTCGATTCGATTAGATTAGATTAGATTGGATCAGATCAGATCAGATCAGATAGGTAGATAGATACTTCATGATAACTAATGATAAATGAGCATTAAATAGGTAGATGGATAGATCGATAAGTAGATATATAGATAGATTGATGGAGAGATGGAGAGATGGATAGATGGGTAGATGGATAGGTGGATAGGCAGGCAGGCAGGGAGGCGGGCAGGCAGGCAGGCAGGCAGGCAGGCAGGTAGGTAGTAAAAGGAATAGTCAACTAATAGTTTCAATGGGTTTTAATCAGGAAACATGCTCAGTCGAAAAACCCAATCTGGTTGTAAAATACAAGTGTCATATCAGCACCCGATCTATTTAACAAGTAGATAAGTAGTGAGGATATGAAGACCAAATTGAATAGAGATTGTATGACGCAAATAGAAATCCAGCAATCACAGGGATATTAATTGAGATATCAGTGGAATTTAAATGGGATTGCTGAATTCAACATTATGAACCAAGAAAAATTGTGACCACAAAGTCTCAAATTCAACACCGTTCAGAAATCAGAATTAGCCTCTGGTAAACTTTCACAGAACGAACTGGAAAGATCCACCATTTTATAGCTGGGTAAATCCACTATTTCTATGGCCATGGCTCCAATAGCTATTACCAAACACATCTTGGAGGACTCAGTTGGTCCCCGAACAACACCTCAAGGATTGGCAGTAGACTACCACAGCGGAAAAAAACATCCTGTTGCATGGTGAAAAACGGTAAGTAAGTCATCTATAAAATTGCATTATTACTGTACTGGTGATACCATGGGCGATAGCCGAAATCCTTTGCCGATCACACTTCGGCCTTTCTTGGCCAAGGCTTCGTAAAAAGTTGCATCGTTCCTGGGCCCAGGAGGTCGTGAAGACAGGTCCCAGGTCCCAGGTCGTGTCCCGTGTGAGGATGCCATGGCACTCTTTCAGAATCGCATCATATTTCAACAATATATCATATCATACAATCAGGGGAAGAACTCACCAAGGACCCTAGAATCAAATTCCAAAGACCCCCAAAATCGGCTGCATATCCCAATTATATCCCAAGAGATCAACATTTCAAAAAGTGGCTGACATCCTGCTAAAAAAACATCATGGTCGATGACTGGATGACCAAGTCCCCAATTTTTACGGAAAGCCATGCCCATCCCGTGCGACTAACGAGTGTCACTTGCACTCTCGCAGCTCCCCAGGCGCTATTCGCCAGCATCCTGGGTGAAGCCGAAGGGGGGCCCGAACGGAGTTGTTCAAAAAACAATGGACCTTTCTATATCCCATATGCTCCATGGTGCTGGTATATTTACCTACAAAACTGGGTGATTTATGTAAGGCACATGTTGGTAAATATTCCAGCACCATGGAGCATATGGGTATTTTTTGCTGGGAAATGGGTTTGAGCAATTTTGATCTAATGGTTTTTTGCTGCGAAAAAAGAGTTATTTATGAGCAATCGTCGATGGCAAGTTTCCATGTTGTGGGGAAACTGTTTCAACATAAAATCAATCAGTCAATCAGATTTAAAATTAGCAGAAGATGTGCACCATTTTTTCCAGCTTCCAAGCACGAAGTCCTGAAACGGACTGACACACCTCGGGATGAAGGAGTGTAATACATACAAGGTGCACCATAGATAGCAAAGTTGGTGCACAAGTCCAAAAAATGGTGGGTTCAGGTATATCTATAGTTGCGGCAAGACCCTATGCCCATGAACTGGAAATGGCTTTGTCGTCAATGTCAAAGTGGATATATATATATATACCAGCTGTTCATTTAACATATCCATGGAACATCACCATTTTTAATAGGTAAACCATCTAAAAATGGGTCATTTTCCATGGCTATGATAAATAACCAGAGGGTGTATACTGTATATATATATATATAATGTAATTATTCATTGGAATTCTTGAAAGGAACCCCCAATAGCCGTGTGCTTACTTGTTCCATGGTGGCAGGGGACGGCATCTCCATGAGGTCCAACCACGAACACAGATAAGATGGGCCTCCCATGGGGCACCATTCGAAGTTAGTGCTGGATGATGTTTGAGGATCCACGAAGACTTCTCCAACTGCTGATTTTAACGTTGAACTGATCTGAGGGGTGAAACTTTGGAACTTCGAATTCATCCTGTAAATCTGGATCAGGAAACTCCCTTTGTTTGCCATCATTGACACTGAACGCTGGGTGAGGTCACTATCATTTTTTTCATCCATGCTGGATTCGTTTTTGAGATCTGCATGGCACCCATCTTAACATGGCTCAAGATTCGTCATGGCTAAACACCATGCAAGATACCATCCATAACTGGATCCGAATTACCATAAAATTTACTCACCAACCTGAAGAACTGTGATGCAGGACTGGTTTCGGAAAGATTCCCCCGTACGGTACGACCTACTGTGGATGGGCCAGCGAAATCTTGCACCAGTTGGTGGTGCACATCCCATTATGATCACATTATTTACAGTGTTTCGTAGTTACCAATAGTTGCCAACTGTAAATAATGTGAACATAATGATCATAATGGGATCTGCACCATCTACCAACTGGTGGAGGATTTCCTCCATCCACAGAGCAATAAGCTGGGATATGATGGGAATGCAGAGAATATCATGGGAATATTTATGGGTTGTGGTGCAGGATTTCGCTGGCCCATCCACAGTATGTTTTGTGGAGATTATGCATGGTATCTCGGCAGCATCCAAGGTCCTCTCAGTGGTTATCACGTTATCACGTTCGATGGGTCGAATAAGAAGCCAGCCACAGTTCTGGAACCCGAAAATTGGAGGTTAATACATGTTAATACTATAGTTACCATCTGGTTATTTAACATAGCCATGGAAAATCCCTTACAAATGGAGGTTTTAATGGGAAAATCATCCATAAATGGGTCATTTTCCATGGCTATGTTAAATAACCAGAGGGTAATGGGGGTTTTGTTATGGTTTATAAACCAACTTTTAACTGGGGGGCCCCATCCTGTACCAACCATCCAATTTTCTGTACCCAATCAATAAATCTATGACCTATACCCATCACCCATCTCTTTCACAGCCCCACCTGAAGGGGTGCTGAACAAAAATCGCCCAGCTTCTGCGAGTTCATCGACGAGATCATTGCTGGAGCGGCTGCCGCTAGCCTGGAGTCGTGGGAGCCGTGCTGGTCCTCTTTAACTGCCGTTTCTATGAAATTTAAGGATCTATTTATAACCCATATGCGAACCATGGTGCTGGTATATTTACCTAACTTGGTGATTTATCTTGGGCAGATGTTGGTAAATTTTCCAAAACCATGGAGCATATGGCTAAACCTTCTGGAGGCTAAATATGACGTTGCACGATCTATCTAGAATCTATAAGACCGTGAATGTATTGTATATTATGCACAATCTATATATATATATATACAGTAACCCACCAATGAAAAATCAGAAACTTTTCCATCAATACCATACATTTTATAGTAGAATCTTACTCAATTCTATCTTCTGGGCATTTGCTGTGCAAAATGGTAATTTCAGTGCGATATGATGATAAACTATGATATTTTGGGGTGGACAAAACCAAATGCCAGTAGCTGGGTAACCAACAAAAATGATAGGACATTTAGTCATCAATGATTGGAAATGGTCTATTCAAACCTGCCATTCAGAACATGACTCTCCGCACAAACCTGCCATTCGGTATCCAAAAATGGGATGGTTTAAAACATTTTAAAACAGCAAAGTTGGTTGGGATGAAAGAATCAACCAGAAAATCACGTTTTGATCAAACATTCCACATTGATATTAGTTGGTGCATCTAAATTGGAGGTACCCTCCAGCAATCAAACATGGCTCGCAAGAAAATCCCCATTTTTTAGTATGGTGTTTTTTCCTATAGCTATAAGTTTGGAGATTTTCCAGCTAGTCACGTTTGATTGCATGGCCTATTTTTCACCAAGCTGCTCTCGGGCGAACTGCTGCACTTCCGGCATGCCATGCAGCCTGAGTTCATAGGCAAAAACGATCTAAACTGGGTGAGTGGATCGGAAATTTCTTGGAAATTGCTTGGAACATCTGTGTCAGCACTTCGGTGTACAGAAAGCAGGACAAGCAGGAGTACGTAGCGTGGCTGAGGGGTCCTCCCAAAAAAAACGGTGAGAGATTACATCGTATGTTCCCTCCTATCTTCACAGTGAGTTTTCTCTTTTGTCTTCTCGTCTCCTCATGATAATAAACTTTTCGATACTCCGCAAATTTCAGAGTCCCCCTCATCCAAATCATGGACAACGTACCAATTCTCTGTAGTTCGCAAGCATGGAAAACAACTATCAACATTTAATTAGGAAAGCATGCAGCATGTACATGTTGTCATAATATCAGAAATCATCTGCATGGTTGTTTTTCTTCCAGCAGACCATACTTGGCTGCCTGGTTGCCACAGCGTTCACCCAATGCCTGCCGTTCGCCCTCGTTGCTTCTCCATACAGTGCAGATCCGAGGCTTCCAACAACACGAGAGGCAATGTGTAAGATATAGACCGAGTATACAAGATACATACCAACCATGGTAAACATACAAAAAACGCTGGAAAATCACCATGTTCAATAATAGGTAAATCAACTATTTCTATGGGCCATGGCTTAAATAGCTATCTTAGATTACCTGGGCCATTTTCCAGTTCGCTATGTCAGCTATTACCAATTCGGCTATCCGGCAATCACTTCGGTAGCTGGAACATCCCCATTCACTTCGATGATTTCTAGGGAAATCACATCGCCATCCATTCAAAATATGGCGATAGTGATATGGGTACAAAAAATAATCCCTATTGATTGATGACCATCCCTCAATATAAGTATATCATATTTATATCATACTTAACTCTTGATTATAGTTGGCTTTTCCCTTGTATCCCAGTCACAATTGATACATGATTAAATCCGACCTTTGGCCATGGCACGCTGTTCGCATTAAGTAATCCCTCTACCCATTGATCCATTCGGCGCGTCTCCCGTAAGTGCTCTTCTAGGAGCTCCTCCGTCAAACCGATCGACCATAGAGATACCTCGGAGTAGAGGCTTGCCATTTTTCAGAAGCAGCTTATTTTTTGACGAAACTGCTGGTGACTCAGCCTAGTTAGAAGGTGTGTAAAACACAATATCTTTATATCCAATGATAACCAGTAGGATCGGCTCATCATCCCAACGAAGAGCCAGCTAAGCAGCTCAGAACTTTCTGTGGACGGCAAGCGTTTCGTTGGACACTGCAGAGTCACTGTTTAAAGAAAAGAAAAACGAGTCTCGATAAATTCTTACATTTATCTTTGCTTTTTGTCTAGAGGGTCCTTGGTCAAAGTCTAACCCTTATCATTGCCTAAACCAATTTGTCAGTTGCAAAAGGTCCATAAGACAAAGGTCCGGGATCCCATGGCTACCACGGTACCATGAAACAGAAACCTCCGATGACGACGTAACCGTTACTAACGCTCCAGAAATCAAACATGGCAATGGAAAATCTTCGATTTATGGATGATTTTCCCACTAACACCTCTTTGTCTTCGATTTATGGATGATTTTCCCACTAACACCTCTTTGCCATGTTTGATTACTGAAGGGCAATACTAATTAGTGTAACTGCATAGTCATAAGGGGAACTTATGAGTTCTTTTAACTGGCCACATTCTAAGTCCATGACTTTTAAGAGGATTCCACAGCGAATGGTTACTCCCTAAAGCAGGAATTCCAGCTTGGATATTTGCTGGGATGATGCCCGAAGATGTGAAACAAATGGCTAAAGGCTCAGGCCGACTGATTGGCGACTTCACCGAATCTGGCCATTGGCGATCATCATCCCAAATATAGTTGAACATATTCAAAACGACAACCAAGTTAATCATTGCTTAGAAACCAGTTACTAACTTAGGGGCCATGTTGTTCTAAAATGGCAACATCTGCTCGTAAATGGGTTGAACTTCCTGAATGCTAGGGCATCCCTGCGAGAGTAAACACAGAAGTCGTCAAGTACAGGTAACGAACACCAGTTTCGTTGACACCCCTACCCGCGGCTTCATCATTCCAAGCTGCCGAAATCGAGTGGCCTTCAAACCTTGCAACAAAAACACCCCAGGTGGCAGCATGTGTTTCAAACATCTTCAAACCATCTTGATGTCAGAACAAAATCCACGTGGAAGAGTCATTTCACGAATTCTTGCCAGCGGCTAGCTAGCAGTTGCTGTGGCTTTGTCTGAAAATGGGATCTCTTTCAATCCATTGATCAATGATCACTAATGGCGGGGATTCTCATTGCCATGAACCATACCCCTATCCGGTTGGTGAATAGATATCCCTGTTGTCAACTGTAATTCCAGATGAACCAGTTTTCACATCAGCTGACTTTTTTGACCCCCAACCAAAATCTACCAATCAGATCAATCGGTGGTAGTTTCAACCGGCCAGTAACGTTGAGGCTTCGCCCAAAGCGCCGTGGACGATCTCCGAAATCAACTTCACCATGCCTGGCGTCGGACGAAGTTGCTTGAAACGACTAAAAGGTGGGCCTGCCGAGTGATAAGTTGGTTTATAAAGCCCACGAACATCCACTATATAGTTATACATTGTATATACATTAAGTATAAATCTATATACTGATACATTAACTATAGAGTTATAAGTTTTATTCCCTAAATGATTATTGGAATTTATTGGACTTTAGAACCTGGTTACAACCCAAGTATCTCATCATTCTATCCCCGATCATCCGATGGCCAAAAACTAGGCAATAGATCTACCATTCTGCGTCAACATAGTGCTGCAATCTTGTTAGAACAATATTTCACCATACTCAATTCTTTCATAAATTGGTTTATAAACCCCGTTAGCTATATAGTTATAAGATGTTATAAGATGTCATAAGATGTTATAAGTATCATAAACCATACTTATTGGAATTATGTTCATGAACTTAGCTATCGTATGTCTTCCCCACATGTTTTTGGATCCACCATCCCCAAATTTACCAAAAAAAACCTGGGTGGTAATCAATCCAGATGGGGGGGGCTCTAAATCCAACATTATCCCGTTGGAGTATTGGCTGGTTGGTGGTTTTTCGCCACCCCTCTGAAAAATGATGGAGTTAAAGTCAGTTTGGAATTATGAAATTCCCAATATATGGAAAAATAAAGAATGTTCCAAACCACCAACCAGATTGGTATTGTTGGTTTTCTTCGTCGTAGCATATGCTGTTTGAAGATCCCAGAACTTTTTTTTTCTATGGGCACTTATGTGAGACAAAACCATCGATCCATGTTCCAGTTAGCCATGTAATGTATGAAATGTTTATTGGGAATTCCTGAAGTTCCCCAACTAATTGGAGGGTTTAACAGGAAAAACCCTCTACCAATGGTGGATTTCCAGCAACTCATGTTTGTGTGTGTGCGAGTAATTTTTCACAGGTATTGGTGGTAAAAATATCCTCATGATCGCAAAGTAATCATACCTCCTTTGAAAAGGTTGATCGACACCAGTTGGCTTAACACATATTTTGTTATGTATGTCAAGATGTTTCAAGTGTAAATAGAAAAAATAACATCTCCATATGATGATACAGGGTGAAACCAACTTCAATCTCCATTTTTTGGTCAGATACATTGGTTTGGGTTTATGATAGGACCGGATAACCCCACATGTTAACAACTTCACCAGATTTAGACTGAGCATAGAAACGCAACAAGGGAAGAGGAAGTATGAGAGTGATGGAGGGGTGATGGTGGCATACATCCGACCCCTTTGCAGTGCACCAAGTCTCCGCACCCAGTTCCTCAAACCGTGCCAACATCGCTCGGTACCAAGCACGTATCCACGTGTGCTTGTGTGATGGGTTATAGTTGCAGTAATCCCTGCATGCAGCGTAGGAATCCTTCAACTTTCGAAAGAACTAGATCCGGCCGGCGAGGCATCCACCGCCGACACTGGGGAGGGCGCGATGGAGTCCTGGTGATTTTCCGCTTCTTCCCTGCACCTGCTAGCATTGGGCACTCTGGCATCGTAGCCAAGAATGAGTCCTCAGCTATCGCGGACAGAGTGGCTTGATGGAAGTACAGAGTGAGGCTACCCTGGACCAAACTGCGTAGTTTGTCAACTTCTAGTTTGTCATCTACACCACTCCACGCATGCAGATTCGCAGAAGCCCAAAAGGTCGTGCCTCCTCCTCTGACATATGTGCAAAAGCCAACTTCTTCGAAATCTCGAAGGGACACCGTTTGGGTTTTGGCGCTGAGAACCCGGTGGATTTTTACCCATTGAGACCATGGTGAGTTTCCCATAGTTTTTTGGTAGGTTTACCAGGCCGGGTAAATGCACGATTTCAATGGGAAACTATGGAAGAATAGGAAACTATGGGACAATAAACCATGTATAAATCAACCATTAAAGGACCGGATAACCCCACATGTTACCAACTTCTTTAGACTTAGACTGACCATAGAAGAGCAAGAAGGGAAGAGGAAGTATAAGAGTGATGGAGCGGTGATGGTGGGTGAGTTTGTGTGTATGTATGTATGTTCATGTACAGTGAGTGAGTGAGAGTGTGAGTGAGTGATGCGAGTGTGGTGTGTGTGAGTGAGGGATGTGAGAGTGAGTGAAGTGAGTGAAGTGAAGTGAAGTGAAGTGAAGTGAAGTGAAGTGAAGTGAAGTGAAGTGAGTGAGTGGGTGAATGAGTGAGTGCGGTAGGTGAGGTAGGTGAGGTAGGTGGTAGGTAGGTGAGGTAGGTGAGGTAGGTGAGGTAGGTGAGGTAGGTGAGGTAGGTGAGGTAGGTGAGTTAGGTGAGGTAGGTGAGTGAGTGAGTGAGTGAATGTGAGTGAATGTGAGTGAGTGTGAGTGAGTGTGAGTGAGTGTGAGTGAGTGTGAGTGAGTGTGAAGCCTCCCATTAACGTCCCCACCACCGGCCAACGTGGTGTCGGCTCGACCGAAGCCGAACCGTTTGGTAAGGACGAAGGCATCGACCTCAGTGAAGAAACAGACTTAGACGGAGCACAGAAAGCGAGAAGGGAAGAGGAAGGATAAGAGTGATGGAGGGACGATGGTGGTATGTATGTAGGTAGGTAGGTAGGTAGGTATGTATTTAGGTATCTATGTATGTATGTACGTAGGGTAAGTTGTTTGTGAGTAAGTTGCTTCGCTTTCATCGAGCTCCACCAGGCTCTGATGTTTTTTTTTCCGACACTATCAAAACGATGGTGTGCTCACCATACTTCCGCTGACCAAAGTAATGTTCTGCACTCTTTCGAGCGCCAAGCCGACGCCAAAAAAGGCCACCTGAAGGCCAAAAAAGGCAACCTGAAGGCCAAAAAAGGCCACCTGAAGGCCAAAAATGCCAGCAAAGACATGACAGGGAGACGTAAGCTACCTATGTAACGATCTATTTATCTATCTACCTATCTAAGTATCTATCTATGCATCCATCCATGCATCCATCCATCTATGTCTCTATCTCTCCATCCATCCATCTATCTATGTCTCTCTCCCTATCTCTCTCTCTCTCTCTCTCTCTCCCTCTCTCTCTCTCTCTCTCCCTATCTCTCTATCTATCTATCTATCGATCGATCGATCTATCTGTCTATCTATCCATGCATCCATCCATCAATCAATCCATCTATCTATCTCTCTCTCTCTCTGTCTCTCTATCTATCTATCAGACCTGTCTATCTATCTATCTATCTGTCTATCTGTCCTTACATCAGGATATCTATCTATCTACCAATCAATCTATCTATCCATCGATCGATCTCTCTGGCTATCTATCCATCTATCTATCGATCTATCTAGCAATCTATCTGTTCAATCTATCCATCAACAATCCATCCATCCTGCATGAGTGAGTGAGTGAGTAAGTGAGTGAGTGAGTGAGTGAGTGAGTGAGTGAGTGAGTGAGTAAGTAAGTACATGTTCCACGCCTGCCAGGGCGTATATCTGACCCCTTGGCAGTGCACATTGTCTTACGCCTGCCACGCAAAAGCGGCGGAGGCCCATGCCTGCCACGCAAAAGAGCCGGAGCCCCAAGGGACGTTGGGGCGTACATCAGACCCCTTGGCAATGCACATTGTCCCACGCCTGCCGCGCAAAAGAGGCGGAGCCCCAAGGGACGCCAGGGCGTACATCAGACCCCTTGGCAATGCACATTGCCCCACGCCTGCCACGCAAAAGAGGCGGAGCCCCAAGGGACGCCAGGGCGTACATCCAACCCCTTGGCAGTGCAGATTGTCCCATGCCTGCCACGCAAAAGCGGCGGAGCCCCAAGGGACGCCAGCGCGTACATCCAACCCCTTGGCAGTGCACCTTGTCCCACGCCTGCCACGCAAAAGAGGCGGAGCCCCAAGGGACGCCAGGGCGTACATCCAACCCCTTGGCAGTGCAGATTGTCCCACGCCTGCCACGCAAAAGCGGCGGAGCCCCAAGGGACGCCAGGGCGTACATCCAACCCCTTGGCAGTACACATTGTCCCACGCCTGCCACGCAAAAGAGGCGGAGCCCCAAGGGACGCCAGGGGTACATCAGACCCCTTGGCACTGCACATTGTCCCACGCCTGCCACGCAAAAGCGGCGGAGCCCCAAGGGACGCCAGGGCGTACATCCACCCCTTGGCAGTGCACATTGTCGCACGCCTGCCACACAAAAGAGGCGGAGCCCCAAGGGACGCCAGGGCGTACATCCGACCCCTTGGCAGTGCACATTGTCCCACGCCTGCCACGCAAAAGCGGCGGAGCCCCAAGGGACGCCAGGGCGTACATCCGACCCCTTGGCAGTGCACATTGTCCCACGCCTCGTACATTGGCAGTGCACATTGTCCCACGCCTGCCACGCAAAAGAGGCGGAGCCCCAAGGGACGCCAGGGCGTACATCCGACCCCTTGGCAGTGCACATTGTCCCACGCCTGCCACCTGAGCCCCAAGGGACGCCAGCCCCACACGCCAGCACGCGCGTACATCCAACCCCTTGGCAGTGCACCTTGTCCCACGCCTGCCACGCAAAAGCGGCGGAGCCCCAAGGGACGCCAGGGCGTACACCCAACCCCTTGGCAGTGCAGATTGTCCACGCCTGCCACGCAAAAGCGGCGGAGCCCCAAGGGACGCCAGGGCGTACATCCAACCCCTTGGCAGTACACATTGTCCCACGCCTGCCACGCAAAAGAGGCGGAGCCCCAAGGGACGCCAGGGCGTACATCAGACCCCTTGGCACTGCACATTGTCCCACGCCTGCCACGCAAAAGCGGCGGAGCCCCAAGGGACGCCAGGGGGTACATCAGACCCCTTGGCAGTGCACATTGTCGCACGCCTGCCACACAAAAGAGGCGGAGCCCCAAGGGACGCCAGGGCGTACATTCCCTTGGCAGTGCACATTGTCCCACGCCTGCCACGCAAAAGCGGCGGAGCCCCAAGGGACGCCAGGGCGTACATCCAACCCCTTGGCAGTGCAGATTGTCCCGCGCCTGCCACGCAAAAGAGGCGGAGCCCCAAGGGACGCCAGGGCGTACATCAGACCCCTTGGCAGTGCACATTGTCCCACGCCTGCCACGCAAAAGCGGCGGAGCCCCAAGGGACGCCAGGGCGTACATCCAACCCCTTGGCAGTGCACATTGTCCCACGCCTGCCACGCAAAAGCGGCGGAGCCCCAAGGGACGCCAGGGCGTACATCAAACCCCTTGGCAGTGCACATTGTCCCACGCCTGGCGGAGCCCCAAGGGACGCCAGGGCGTACATCAGACCCCTTGGCAGTGCACCTTGTCCCACGCCTGCCACACAAAAGCGGCGGAGCCCCAAGGGACGCCAGGGCGTACATCCAACCCCTTGGCAGTGCACATTGTCCCACGCCTGCCACGCAAAAGCGGCGGAGCCCCAAGGGACGCCAGGGCGTACATCAGACCCCTTGGCAGTGCACATTGTCCCACGCCTGCCACGCAAAAGAGGCGGAGCCCCAAGGGACGCCAGGGCGTACATCAGACCCCTTGGCAGTGCACATTGCCCCACGCCTGCCACGCAAAAGAGGCGGAGCCCCAAGGGACGCCAGGGCGTACATCCGACCCCTTGGCAGTGCACATTGTGCCACGCCTGCCACGCAAAAGTGTGTGTGAGTGAGTGAGTGAGAGAGTGTGTGTGTGTGTGTTTGTGTGTGTGTGTGAGTGAGTGAGTGAGTGAGTGAGTGAGTGTGTGAGTGAGTGTGTGAGTGAGTGAGTGAGAGAGTGAGTGTGTGTGTGTTTGTTTGTGAGTGAGTGAGTGAGTGTGTGTGTGAGTGAGTGAGTGAGTGAGAGTGAGTGAGTGAGAGTGAGTGAGTGAGTGAGTGAGTGTGAGTGAGTGAGTGTGAGTGAGTGAGTGAGTGAGTGTGAGTGAGTGAGTGAGTGAGGGAGGGAGGGAGGAGGGAGGGAGGACGGGAAGGAGGACGAGGAGGAGCGGATACAGAACTAAAAACAAAAACCCCACACGTCAATGTGGGGAATAAAATCATAAGACGCTCACATCAGTGAGTCCCTTAAATTGTTCAACCCCTGGTAGTAGTTAAACATATCAAACATGTTCAAACCACATTTCCATTGCTTCACAATAGCATGCCACTCTTATATATTGGCTACATACCCATCGCTACCCCTTCTTTGGTGCTTTATTGATCAGTTTTGGTGGGTGAGACCACCCCTGGTTACACTGGGGATCAAGAGAATAGGCATCCGCCACAGAACATGGTGGGTGGCACAAGCCAATTATGTTTTTAACAAAATAGATTATCAAAAACATGTCTCCGTTGTTGGGATTTTTCATGTGTCTTTTCGCTTACTGTTGGGATGTAGTTTTGGCATCTGCCTGGAGGCTGCCCGAATCCATCATCCAACCCTCAGCAGAAACTGCTAGGTTCAGCCTCTTCTTAAACGTCCCAGAGAAGATGTTGTTACAGGAATTCCCCAAGCTAGCTTTGACGCAGACAATCTATTTGAAAGTCGATCCAAAAGCCTTCCTCTTGAGAATTACCCTCTGGTAAACAAACAGTTTGCTATTGAACATGGCCATAGAAATAGTTGATTTACGCATGAAAAATGGTGATTTTCCAGTTCGTTTTCTGTAAACGTTTACCAGAGAAGACGGTACGCATGCGGCTTCGTGAAGAGAACTTTGGGGCAGATTTTGCACAAAGAAACATGGGGTTGAAGCCAATAGATCATCCGGTATATCCATATTAATGTTATCTGTATATGTGCGTAAAGGCTACGTTTTTCATCTGGAAAATATGTGGAAAATGTATATGTATGTTGAATATACAATGTGTATGCATATTGATACAATGGAAGATAACAAATAAACAGACATCTTCCATTGTATCAATGTATTACTGGCTTCCCACCTCTCTCTCTCTCTATATATATATATTTATACATATAACTTCCTATCACAAATCCAATATGCTGGATTATCATAATCACATAATCTGGGTCGATGTTCTTAGCCAAACCTAAGTACCCTCGGCTGTCATCCAGCGTGGCTTGCTGGAGGATGCCCGGTTATGTTCCCAGCTATTAAACTTCATATTTGTAGAGGATTTCCCAGCACGTTTGAGTACTAAATGGGTAGTACATATGTCACTATAGTCCCTTCATCCAAATATTATCCTCCATTAACCAGTTCGTTATTTCTCTCATAAACCCAAAAGTTAACCAAACTGTAAACCGACTTGGCTATCTACAAGACTGCACCAATATTATTCTTTTAGGAAAAATAGAGGGGCCGGTTTGGTATCTAATATCGTAATATATCATATATTACTTATCCTATCCTCATCTAAGTGGCTGTTGAAAGGGGGGAACCCGAGCCCTCTTTTACTCAACCAACCAGTGGGAAAAAGACATCGAACCAGGGGCCTCACCGTGTAGGTATATAAATCTTTTGTTCCGATTCATTTTTTTTAAGTTTTAAGCATTGTCCGAAGTCCGTGGATGCAAAAATTCGCGTTTCTGGAGCTTCCGTTCAAATGCTGAAACAGATCCATCCCGTAGAACCGAAGATGGCAAGGGGAAATCCCCTATAAATGAAGGTTCTACAGTAATGGGATCATCATCTACTGTTTGGTGGTTTTTCCTCACCCCTCTGAAAAAATGATGGACTTCGTCAGTTGGGATCATGACATTCCCAATATATGGAAAGTCATAACAGCCATGTTCCAAACCACCAACGAGAATCTTGTGAAAGCGGATGTTTTTTTCCAATGCCATGTTTGATTTGCGGAGAGTGGACCACATTTCTGTCGAACAGAAACAATATCCAACATCCATGGGCTTCTGACGCGAGTGTCTTCCACAGTAAAAATAAGCAACAAAAAATGGTTGCTGAATATTTTGCATATTACCAGCTGATCATTTGGATAAAACCATAAAAAACCTATTGTTTTTTTATCGGATTTTGGATGGGATTTATCCATATATTTTAGATGGTTGCTAAATAACATCCATGGGATTCTCAGTGTGATCGTGTCACCATATTTTGAATATGACCTGACCCGCTGGGACCCGGTGGGATTCCCACCAATCATGACAAAGCTCCGCTGCTCCGCTTTCAGCATCAACCCCATGATCATCCCAACATACAAAAGAGTATGAAAATCTGAACATCTGTTGGAATATCCGTTACAATGTTATCTTCCTACTGGTGATTCCTATAATAGATTTGTTATGATAACTCCCAAGATTGTCAACGTTAAAAATCTTAAAACTCATCCCTTTATATCACATGGTTGGGAACTCAATTCGTAGCTCTAACTAGCTCCCCATTGAATAGGACATTTCCCCCAACCACTGGATAGATAGGTTTGCAACTTCAAAACTAATCAATATTCAAAAGCTCATACCCTGAGGTAACTCAAGATAAGTACGGAAAATCATCACACTCACCATGTTCATAGGTAAATCATCTATTTTCAGAGGAAAATCATAGAAAATCACCATCGATTTTCATGAGCGCCCAATGGGCCTGGCACTCCTTGGTTGGCCAACTTGGCCGCGGCCCATAGGGACTGCCTGGGGGCAGAACAAATCGTTCTTGATGGGCTTCTCTATGGTTGGAGGTATCATAGCCATATGCTCCATGTATGGTATATTTACCTACATTTGGGTGATTTTTAGGGCACATGTTGATAAATATTCCATACATGGAGCATATGGGATAAAACGGCTTTAACATGATTGCATACATCACTTACACGTGTATACTGATAAATTGATATCATAAAATAGTGTTACACATGATATATGCATAATATATGCAAAATATATGCATAAAATATGCAAAATATATGCATAATATATGCATACTATAAGCATAATATATGCATAATATACATAATATATGCAAAATATATGCATAATATATGCATAATATATGCATATACACACATGTACAGACACAACAGTCGGAATATCATTATAAATGCCATACCCTCTGGTAAATTAATATAACTACGAAAAATCACCATCTTTAATAGGTAAATCAACTATAAATGTTCCATTTTCCATAGCTATTTTGACATAACCAGAGGGTATATCGGGGTTTCTTCAACTCCGGGATAGTCGTCACCGAGTCGGTTTCAAGTCACCAAAAATCATGGTCTGACCTGGATGATTTATGATAGGTAGATCCAAATAAATCCCCATGGTATTCCCATGAGATCCCCATGGCAAAACAACAACAACAACGACGACGACGACGACAATGAGCAAAACCGAGCTGAGACGCGTGAGGTCGTAGCCTTTGAGATCTTTGCCTCAGAATTTCGAAAGTCAACCAGAAACAAAGAAAGACAGAAACAAATGAAACTATGGACAGTTAAGGAGTAAAGATTGAAATATGCAGTTTTAATGGGAAACATGAAATGTGGTCAATCGTGGTAAACCCAAAAATAAACCATCCCCCAAATCACATTTTTTTATCGTTGGTACAGTAAAAACTATCCCCACATGATAGATTTCTTACTGGAATTTCCACATCAGTAGAGTTGGAAAGTTGTAGAAGAGTTGGAAAAGTGATTTCCAACAAACTCAGCTGATGCGTATTTTGATATGTATATATATATCTACACAGCAACCAGAGTTTAGTGAACAATACACAGTAAAGTTGGAAATGAGACAATCTATAGTAAAGTTGGAAACCATCTAGAGCATCGGAAAATGGTGGAACCATCTAATTTTGCTATTTATAGCAAAGTTGGGAACATGGAAATGAAGAGGGGAAAACCATCTCTACAAGAAACACATGTGTATCTTTCTTGGGACCCCAATCACTGGGCTCTTGCCAGTACGTGGACATATACTTGGACCCACTCAGTGGGATTTATGAAATCGAAAACACCAACGGAATAACCATCAATAACCCACTAATATATTTGGTAGACAATCTCAGGGATAACCAATTGGATCCCATTGGATTGTTAAAAGTGTTTTTCCTCAATGACAAGGATTGTTCGTTTTTTTCCAAACCTTTCTTTGTAAAGGGATGGTTTCTACCTCACATTTCTTGGATACCCTCTGGTAAACAAACAGTTTGCTATTGAAAATGGCCCAGTCGAAATAGTTGATTTTCCCATTAAAATTGGTGATTCTCCATTAGTTACCCTCTGGTAAATAAACATAGACCTGAAAATCACCAATTTTTAATGGAAACTAGTCTTCCAACCCCTATCTGCCAGGGTCTATGTTAATTTACCAGAGGGTATGTTAGCTTACCAGAGGGTAATTTAGATCTTCTGTATTGAGTTTGCCACCTTGGGATGGGGAAAGGTCCCTGTGGGTCCCCTCTCAGGGTCCAACATCATGAACGCTGAGAGCATCAAAATGGACGCGCACAGGTTTTCCAGAGAATCTTGTTGCAATCTCTATCTCTCGATATAAAAAAAAAATATATATATGAATGAATATATATATATATGAATGAATATATATATATGAATGAATATATATATATATATATCAATGGATATATATATATATATATTTGAATGAATATATATATATTTGAATGAATATATATATATTTGAATGAATATATATATATATATATATATTTGAATGAATATATATATATATATTTGAATGAATATATATATATATATTTGAATGAATATATATATAATTATATACATATTAGGGGAGAAAATCACCCACAACAGATGTCTAACTCTATCCTTAGATCACACCCCAACAATCTGGTTTTCAACTCCGGCACGGGAGTGGGTTTGTTGGTCAACTGCGACATCTTAGTCGACTGTTTAATGGTATAAATTTGCAAATGTGTCATTTGTTGCCGAAGTTGGTTGCATTTCAAATTTTATTAGTTAAACCATGTGAAACTATGTTAAACCCATATGTTTGTGCTAAAGAAAACAAGCAATCCTCAGAAATTGCCGTCACCGCCAAGTTGCTCTTGGCCATCAAGCCCACACGCTGCAGTAGGAAACGAGGCAGGGCAACGTCGATGGCTTGCCTGTTCGAATTCGTTGCCGGTACCCTCTGTGCCCCCACGTCTCGTAAGTGGGTGATAAACCCACTTTTAAGTAGGGTAAGGAGGGCTAGCCCATGCTAGTCCAGTTACAATTGCGCTTCTAACCCACATCAAAAAATTGGGGTCAACCACCAACATAAAAACGGGAAATCTCCCATGACGAAAATGGGCAAATCATGTCCTGCAACTATTCCTCAAAATCCCATCCAATGAACATGATATGGTCAACCGAAGAAACTCATAGACCCTGAATTGGTATGAATTGGTGGCATTTTATGCCCTACTTGTTTAAGCTTCGGCTGGGGGTTGTTTCATTTATTTTAGCACACAAGTACCAATAGAGGAATTTCCCCAACAAATGATGAGGATAAGCTGGGATATAACCCATGAATATGGAGAAAATAGAAATTCAACAAATAAACATGGGGAATTGCAGAGCAAAAACTGATCAAGAAATATCAAAAAAACAAAAAGCTGGGGCAGTTACAGTATGTTACAGTATATGGAAACCGAACAAGACAGTGAGAATGAATCCCAATTAATGGCTGACATTTAATATTGCATTGGGTTAAACATCCCATGACTGGGGAGACTGAACATGCGTGTCGACAAGCTGCACATCGATGCAATGGTCTGAAGCATTCCGTTTCTAGATTTGATTGCCGGAAGGTCGGCCAGGTCGGCACAGAAAAACATGCCATTCCTTCACAAGTTGGAGCAGGACCATAGCAACCTCCCAAAGCACTGGCCAGACTGGATGACTGATGACTCAGTACACTAGCCTTGCCAATAATAATCTTAATGGCGTGGGCTTCTGGAATGGTTTCTTTCCTTATTTTAATTCCCAATTGTCAATTGTTGATGACTCTTGTCAATCTGCGAAGGATCTTTTTGCCTAGCACCATGATTTTACTTCCAGAAAACACAGGATTTGAATGGGCAGAAATTGGATGTTCCCAGCAACAAGTTGACACATATAATTCCATGGAAATTAAGTGAAATTGGAGAGCCATATTTCATAGAATGAAAAACCACAGCTTTGAAGTCTGCCAATGGTAGATGAGTAGGACATGTGCTGTATCCCTTCGGATGGTATATGAAAGCAAACGGTTATGTAGCTAGAAAATATGAAGTCTATGGAAAATTGTTTGAACTTGTGTTCTACAGGATGGTGCCCCCCGAGTTATAAGTTGGTTTATAAACCCCATTAACTATAGTTATATCTACCATAAACCATAGTTGTGGGAGTTATAAACCAACTTAGCTAACTATGGGGCACCACCTTGTACTGAATCAACCAGTGGAAATGGACATGTATGGTTTCGGATGCTGAAATCATCCTGAAACTTAGTAGAAATTCCAACATTCCAGTCTGCTCATCACCCCAAACATGACTAAGAAAACAAATTTGCAAACCAAATTGGGTTCACCGATCCAACCACATCTCTCCCAATTTGCCTGTATCACTGAATCACCGCAACTTCTTTGATATATGGGGATAAAACCCACTTAGCAATGATTTGGGGTCTCACAGAATGAGTAGTGCCTTTTATCCTCGTCTTGGGTGGAGCATAAAACCCTATGGACCAGTGCCGCCGAGCCCATTTCATTGACAGCCCCAATAAATGACTGAGATTCGCCCATATATCATATATGTTATATGTCTGTATGCATGTATATATACTGGTTGGTGGTTTTTACCGTCTTGAAAAATAAGAAAGTAAATGGTTGGTGGATTATCCCATATATTATGGAAAATAAAAAATGTTTGAAACCACCAACCAGTCTAAATATAAATATGTTGGTGGTTGATCAGCCCTTTCATATCCTAATTTCCACTGATGACATATCGACACATTTTGAGTTGCTTAAATCCTTGGAAAACCCACTTTTGATTGATGAAATCTCTATTTTGATGGGAAAAATATGGTTAAATCATCAGTTCGCCCGGGGGGTCACTGAATATCACGGCGAATCGTGGCGTATCCCCATTAAAAAAATATCACGGCGTACCCCTGAATCCTTAATCCATCTTAATTCTATTACTTACAGACTTACATTCACATCTTTAAAGCTTGTCATCTCAATCTTGGTTGCTGAATAATCGCCATTAATCTTCATTTTGGTGACTTTTAGCCCGCCCTTCAGAGGTCACGGCATTTTTTTTGAGCCACGCCTATGAGGTGTATCCGCCACCAAGACCGCCACGGCCCACAGGCTGGTGGCCAGATCCCGGCCGCCCAGCCTTGGCCTTGGAACGTCGGAAGCGACGAGTTGTTGAAAAACTGCATTTATACTTAATAGATCTTAAAACAGGGGACTCTTATATTTACATGGACTTTGATTACATGAGATTTACTATTTCGATGCTTAATAGGAGGTTGCTGACATGGATGTATCACTTACATATAGTTTACCAATCAACTATCTGGGTATATTGTGGTAATTCACCAAGCTGAAATAAGGCCATTTGGGGATAGTTACCCCTTACTAACCATAATTCCAGTGCCATCTCCAGCAGTTCAGCTGAGCTAAACTGGTCGCAGTGAGGTCGTTAAAATTTACCCAGAACTATGGTTTACTAGATTTGGGTGAAAACATAGTTGAGGAGGATTGGAACACAACAAATAAAACTGAAGGGGGCCCCAAAAAATGCCATTGGAGAGTATTATTAAACAATGTGGAAGTTATGAGTTGAACAAAAAACGCTATACAACCGGGGTACATCTCGTGTGAATCGTCCTACGAGTCGTCACTCATGTCCAAAACATATGAACAATTGACTTTGACCGCCAACATGTACAACAAATATTCGAAATGATATCTGCGAACAGAATGGTAACATAAATCTGGATTTGCCCATTGAAAGTTGAAAGGATGGAACACAAAAACCATCTTTGATGCCAAACTTAAACATTTTTCAAACCGCATGTCCTGCAAAAAGTTTCTTGCTCGTTTCAACTCCTCTTCCCTGTCCACTAGTCGTGCTGAAATAGTATATCAATGGCAAACATCCACGCCAACTAGACCCCAACAGTTGCTTCTAGATTCAGAATGATTCAGACCCAGGACTGCCTCTGCATCTTTTCAAGTAACATGAAAAATGCATGACTAACTCGCATCTGGTATCGAAGTCTTACAGCACTGAACTTGCTTCCATTCCTCCAACCGTCAAAGAGGTGGTGACACAAGCTGGACAGGTTCTTCCAAAACTAAGCAGCATTAAGTCATTAAGGGAATCATGGGGTAATGTTGTTTTTTTACCCACCAAGTCTTGGGTTGTCAACAGTAGGTTGAATCGGTTTTATCTTTACTGGCTAAGTACTCCATCAATTGTCCGAGATGGTTCCTGGACTCTTGAAGACAATCGATGGATCCTGTCTTGCAACTCCAGGATGTCTGTTTGTGTGTGCATCTGGCTGACAAAATGGAGCAGATCTGGGATTGCTAAGTATTGCAGCCGCAAAAACGTTTGATGGCGATGATCGGCATCTGGGAGCAAATCGATAACATGGTCGCTGATGTACTGCGTATTGGTGTTGAAGAGTTCCTTGCCTTGAAGACCTTCCCGCAAGTCCATCTACTAAACGAGAAAAAACCAAACTCAAAGCACAACGAGCCTCACAAGTTCTGCCATGCTGCTGCAGGCTTGAGCTACTGCCCCACCGTTTGCCACATGGGCACCTCATGTGCCCAGGTTGCAGTAAGTCACAAGCAGATGGAATCGAAACTGAGGACTGATCTCTTCGTCCCAAGCGCGCCAGTGGGAATGCAGTTCATTGATCGGCGGCGGAATGTGTCGATTGTAAGGAGGTCTTCACCAAGTACGCAAAATCATTGAGCTGGCAATCCATCTCAAGACTCAACAACGGCAAGCAGTGATTGAATGTCATCGCCTCCTGGTCGGAGAACCACACAGGGATCGCCTTGTCACTCTCAGGGAGGCCTTCGAGTTCCATCTTCACAATGCCAAGAGCCAAACAAAGACCACAGTACTAGGGGTTCCCAAGAGGATCGCAGCTATGAATCCAAAAATGAAGCATGGGGCAAAGTGGTGGCGCCAATGATCAGGAACCAGCTGCATCGCAATCGGCGCGTGCAAAGGAGCCTGCCCTTTCACGAGCGCTCTTGCGCGCATCAATAGCGTCACGACCCAGATGCGGAGGATTCAAAAAATATGGATGGAAATTAGTGAAGTCATGGACACATGTGGCGCGCATGGATGAGTTGCACTGCCATCCTTAAACAATCGACCCAAAATCATGCATAAGCAATCATGCTATTTCTTTTATGTACGTGTCATGTGTATACATACATACATGGACATTTGTATATATATATATATATTATTTATACGTATTAGTAGCATGAAAACAATCATGGCCGGTGGGTGGTCACTACATGTCATTACTATTCTTGATCATCTTACGTTCTTTGGTTATGATCATGAAATGATCCCAGCTCGTGATTAATACTAAAAATCAAACAACTCATTATTTTATGATATGTCATGATGAATTATGGGATCCCAGTTCAGATAATGACTAATCTTAACGCTTGTATATCCAGTTCATTATGGGGTCTCAGATCATATTATTAATATTTTCCCCACCTGTCAGGTGAGGGTTGTTAGATTTTTTGTCAGCTGGTCCGCCCTCCTCCTCCTCCTCCTCTGCCGGACCTCAACTGCAAGCTCTAGATCGGAGTGTTCCCCGCCGGACCCGAACAGCAAGCTCTGGATCAAAGTGATCCCCCGGGGACCTCAACTGCAAGCTCTAGATCGCAGCGTTCCCCGCCGGACCCGAACAGCAAGCTCTGGATCAAAGTGATCACAGCCGGACCTCAACTGCAAGCTCCGGATCAAAGCCTTCCCCGCCAAACCTCAACCGCGAGCACCGGATCAGAGTTTCGCCCGCCGGACCGCAACTCAACCACAAGATATGCCAGATACATATGCCAGAAAGAATCTGAAGGAGAAAGCCAGATAGAGTGTCAGAATAGATATCAGATAGAATGCCAGATAATGCCAGAATAGATGCCAGATAGAATGCCAGAAAGAATGGCAGATAGAATGTCAGAGTAGACGTCAGATAGAATGTTAGGAAGTGTGTCAGAATATCTGTCAAAAAAAGTCAGAAAATATGTCAGAATATATGCCTTTAAATGCCATGGTGGGGATCGCTCGAAGTAAAGTAATTAATGTCAAGTCTTGATTAGTGTAGGGGGACCCTCCCCCCAAACACTTGCAGGACTCTCTTTAGGCTGGCAACTTTTGAGGGAGGTCTGGAATAGTTTTGGATCATGATATTTCATGAATTATTATGATGGATTATGGGACCCGAGATCATAACATTACTAGGTTTTCATGATTATCATATATTAATTCTATATCACATATCATTACTCTGTTTCATGATTGTCAGATATTATCCATTACCGCATTACTACTTTTAATGATGACCATCCCATAATTCCACAGCAAATAACTATTATTATCATCCCATAATATTAATCCATTCATCCCAGCATGGCTTAGATCATCATATTACTGACATAAAATTATTGACATACTACTTTTTAATGCTTATCCATTGATTGGGATGAAATATGATCATATGTTTTTTCGGGAATTCAAAAAAATATGTCAGGAGCATATCATGGTTATCAAACTAATTTAGGATTGCCATAAATTATCACCCCATAATTCCCCAGCAAAAAAACACGGCGCGCTTCCAAGCCACACTTCCGCCAGCAGGCGCTTCGAGATGGGCTGACAAAGGGCATCAAAGGGCTCCCGCGCCGCGACTTTGGCCAGGGACCTTGGGATGTCGCAGCTGGGAAAACCCAAGGAAAATAGGGATTTGTAGATTTATGGCTGATTCATGCTAAGTTGACTGAGCATTTCAATAACTCTTGAGTTTATGGTGGATATATTTTACTATTTTACAGGAAGCTCATTGGGATTTAGGGCCATTTAGCTAAGTTGGTTGATACGACTCTAATGCCTGAGCGGGATCAAGTAGTGAGCCTGGGAATTCCAAACAGTAGCTGACCATCAGCTTGAGAAAAACACAAACAAGTCTAGGGTATTGTGCAGTCATACGCTCTATTTGATCTAAACTTCAGGTACCACAGATCAACCAAACAACCAGCAATCATCACAATAGCATGTTAAACTGAAATTCCAACATTTAAAAACAAAGTGGGACGGTCGCACTATAGTCCCATTGGATTCCTACAGTATTCAGAGCATCATGGCAAGAACTGGCCAACTTTTGTGGATGTTGACACGGTCACATCACCAAGTACTCATTGAGAACAAGGGGATTTTCGCAAAATTTATGAAATGACTCGACTCATCGGCTCAAGGGAAAGCACCCCACAAATTAGAAAAAGGACCTAACCAGCCATTATCCAATCATCTCATCTAAAAGTTGTCCAACCCACCCAAGACTAGAGGTCTAAGACAACCACGATTGGTGCATCATGCCTAGCACAACTGGTTGTACATTGCGGGCCAACCAGAATTTGCAGGATTCACCAAGCTCAAACAAGCCAATGGATGGAAAATCATCACGCTTTCTTTTGACGAACCATTGGGCCTCTCCCACCAATCGGACCTTAAATTCATTGTGATTAATCATTTCCCTATCCAAAATTACTAAAAGCCACCCGGTTGTGTCATAAAACCTACTATATCTATCTATTTCTAATATTGCAAATTATATACTGAAGAATAGCCACAACTTGGGGTATACCTTTCTACTTTTCAGACACACCCGGAATGGTGATTGAAAAAACGGCTTGAATTTCTCGATTATTTGAACGAACCCTGAAGTTGGGAAAACTCTGCTCTGAAAAGAATAAAAACCTGCAATTGTTGTTCACACATGTTTGCATGAATAAAAAGCAAGTTGTACAATATCTATCTATCTATCTACCTATCTATCCATCTAATCTAATCTAATCTAATCAAATCTAACCTAATCTAATCTAATCTAGTCTAGTCTATCTATCTATCTACCTATCTATCTATCTATCTATCTATATTGAAAGAAAAACAATATATATATATATATTAGCTCACCCATAATCAAGACAACTGCAATTCGTTAACATGCATGTAGCTACATGTATATCTATATATATATAGATGTAATATTGATTTTTGTCATTGGAAACCGGATCTCTTGGCTGGTGATTCCAGAAGCCAATCCATGATACAATGCATCAAAATTCAGCCCAAGGATCCACATCAGATTGGAGACATGAACTGGTTTTAGGTCCTGCGCATATATATATATATGTGTGTGTGTGTGCTGTGACAGTGCTGTAATAAAGGATGTGCCTTAGTGTATCTCATTTAGTTGGTATAGCTGGTTTGTGAGCTGATCTCTGGTTTCATCTAACATGTAAGTGTGCATTGATGTCTTCATCGAAGGGCCAGTGGCATCGTGGATGTGTTCCTTCAATAGTTTGTTGCATTCATAGCGACAGTGGTCAGTGCGACTGCAGGGTTCGGATTGTTTACTGGATCTCGTATCGGATGTATGCTCATCCGGATTCTGGCCTTTTACGATGTACAGCATGTGGCGAGTTTGTCGTAAGTTCATCGGTGGCAAGGTATCCGGAAGAGCCCATGATGCAATCCTCGGCCTCTCTATCCTCTGTGGTTCAGGGTGGCAACCAGTTGCAGGTTGAGGGGGCGGTCCATGCAAGTTGACTTTCCTTTGGGAAGCACAAGTTGACTTTCCGTATACCACGGCCAGAGAGTGGACCATCCACGTAAATCTTAATTCTTGGCGATAGATAAGTGTGCCAAACACTTTAGGAATCATACAGCAGGGATTGCTGGTCCCTAAAACTCGTTTTTTCGCCAAAAAAATGATACGGTTGACATGATTTTTCCAGACTTCAGGATTCCAAACATAGACAGACCAAACACATTCCTCCCTTTTTTTGCCGGTAATTAGGGGGAAGGGTGTGGTGCACATGATGCCCAAAAGTACGGAACTTCCCTATGCAGGCCTATGCGTCCATTGTTTCTTGGTAAAGGCCCCGATTTTTTTGCCAAAACCATAATAGTTCAACAAGCATATAGCCGAGTACCCTCTGGTAAATTAACATAGACCCTGGCAGATAGGAGTTGGAAGATTAGTTTCCATTAAAAATTGGTTATTTTAATGTTATTTTCAGGGTCTATGTTTATTTACCAGAGGGTAATATCTCACTGTCCATGTAGAGGTTTCCTAAAGTAGGTGTACCCCCTTTTTTCATCCATCAAAACATGATAAACCATCCAGCTAATGGGATAACACCATTCATGAAAACCCCCGTATATACAATGATCCGCTTACAACACCGCGACCTCAACATGCAATCTCAACTGCCCCCTGTCAGTGAGATACTGGGCGCCACATAGCTCTTAAGGCTCCGCCGATTTATGTTTGTGGGATTATAAGCCCCAAAGAGGATGTCATCTCTGGCATTTTTTAAGGTGGATTTACCCCCAAAACAGTGAGATGAATTGCTACTTAGATGCTACCCACCTCATAAAACAGCCTAGAGGTTTATGAATCCAGGGTTGACATTGTCAATGTATCTAAATATCATAAATCCTAGCCTAGGTATTAAGGAACACAGCTAAGTATGGGGCACCGCTACTCATGTGCAAGGCCCGGGAATCTTGGTGATCGAGCTCGTTCTCGATGTAACTAGGCTTATCCGTTAAATAACTGGCTTAAGACCATAATCATGGGATAACCAGTATTACAACATTATCATGGGATAATCACATTCCTGGGGGTAAATAATATATATATATATATATCTGTATATATATATATATATACAAAAGCAATATAAATAATATAAATGGTTTTTTATTGGGGGGCCCCACCTTGTAATGTGGTTGACCCAAGAATAATCTATAAGTGTTCACTATGCACAATCCAACACAAGTGATATTCTATTGTATGTTTGGGAAACTCGATTCGTCGCTCCAAGACGCTCCCGATTTTTTGTCGGGGATATGGATAGCCCAATCGCTCCAAAGCGTTCCCTGCTAGCCACAAGATGGTGTTTACAATGGTGTATCCAACAGACAGCATGTCGGACAATATTGATAATATTATGGACTAACATCATGTCATATCTGGGGTTGGATGTGTCATCCAATTATGATCCAAACACACCACATATTTATATATACAATATTATATATATCGTATCCTGCAAGACAAGGCCAGACAAGGTGGTGCCCAGATATAAATCGGTTTATAAACGCTAGTAACTAGTTCTATCTATCTACCATAAACCGTCGAATTCACCTAGTGAACTGAACCAACTTAGCTAACTATTGGGTACCACCTTGTACATAACATATGGTGTACCCAACAAACATTACCAGTAAGAGCATGATGACTTCGTCCTCACGATTCTTCAACAGCAGACCCAAGCGTTGGCTCAATCCCTCCTGGAGGAGTAACGTCCAAGGGACAATGGGATTTTCCCATCTAAAACGGTGGCTTTAGACTATCTGTAAGACAAATGACCCTGGCTGTATTTGAGCATCAAAATGAGGAAGAACGAAGTTGAAGCTTCAAAAATTGAGATTGAGGCAGCAAAACTGGGACTTTGAAACAATGGTGTATTTCGTAGACAATGACGATCGAACCAACCATAATGTGATAATTAAACGGGTCTGTCAAAAAATGAACTGCACCATTTCATTGCAGTTTTTATGCTGAACATGATGATAAGGCATGGGATTTTGAGGCTGCTAACCAATGTTCAGCAAACCTTGTTTGGTCCTTTTAAAATTGTGGGATGTCAGAGGTAACAGTGGTGAATACAAGTTACTGGATTAACTTTAAACCATGAACTGACCGCTTCACAAATAGAAAATACATATGTTCCATTCCCTGACAGTTTAGCAGCATTGAACGGCCCTGGATTTGACAATAACAACACCGATACTTGGGGGGAACATCCCGAAGGAAGTTGCTAGGCTGCTGATTACTATGCGCTTATTCCATCTATGGCACAGTCCAACACATCAGTTCAAAAAAAACAGCTTCGATTTGAACTAGAGAAACAACTGAATCCACACAAACACACACACATGAAACAATTGCATTTTTTTTGCGATGATGCCCCCTACTAAATATTACTGTCATTCATTATAATTATTTGGTCCTGACCAAGACGGTGATATAGCTAATACCATCAAGGCGAAACAGTGAGGAAAACGGGTGATAATTCGATGAATTTTGGGAAAATTGTGGTAATCACATTGCCATACCAACCATCCCCCTAAGTCGGGGGGATCATCATTGGGTTTGCCACATTTCCCTTTGTTCCATTGTTTGGTGTGCCACTCATCTTCTTGTCTTAACATCCAGCTAATGTTCCAGCTAATGTCCCCACTATAGTGGGTTTGTCTTCCTCTGGAAAAAACCCGGAAGGATGGGGTGGACATATTGCCTTCAAAATACACCTGCCTATGGGAATTTGTGCCTTGCCACCACAAACCCCGAAGAGGTAGATGCAGGCCTTGTCCCTCAAGGAGCAACCCATATCAAAGGCTATGGGAGGTTGCATGGGCAAAGAGAGGGCATCCCCAAACTTTGTTTCCCATTGGTTGAGTGGGTGGCTTTGATATGCATTCTGGCCACAGAACAAATTTTGAAACGGGGGTGAAGTGGGAATGGGGACACCCCTTCTTCAGGGCTTTTCACACCCTGTGCTTGAAGCCTTGCAATTGCAAGATTCGAGAGACAGCAGGCCCTCATTTGCTCGCTCCTCATTTCCTCTCCTCATTTGCTGGCGCCTCTTCCTCTATTCCTCTGCAGCTGCAGGGTACGAAGGTGGGGCGCCCTGTGCTCGTCCTCCTCATCATGCTTTCCTGCATCCTCTCCTTCTTCAGGCCTCACCCACCTTCCCCAACTCTTCCCCAGCCCCCTCCTCATCTCCATCACTAGCACCAATGCAACCACCCTTGCCACCACCCTTGGCCAATGGCACTTCCTCCTCATCCATCACCCCACCTTCCTCAAATCCCTCAGGCTCTGCTCCAGCCCGCTCCTCATCTCCATCACCAGCAACACCCTTGCCACCACCCTTAGCCTTTGCTTTGGGCTTGGCTTTGCTTCTCCGCTTGATGGGGGGCCATCATCATGATGGCAGAAATGGGGAGACAGGCGAGAAGCATCTGGGCGATGCCAGGAATTGCCCTTCCCAAGCAGGGTGTGCAAGGGTGGGCCATAGAGACTGTGAAACAGCAAAGGAATGCCAAAATGAAGCGGCTTTCATGTTGCTCCTCATGCCTGGCAGGCTGTGGTTTGGGTTTTGGGTGTTTCCCTAATATTCCTTTCCCTTTTTGATCCTTTATTTGTTTCTTTTCATTCTTCTCTTTTCTTCTCTCTTTTCCTTCTTTTCTGTCTTCTCTTTCCATTCTGTCTCTTCTTTATTTTCCATCTTTTCCTTCCCTTTCTGTTCTTTCCTTTTGTTTCCTTGTTCTGAAGGAAAGGCCAGGACAGGAAAGCAAAGGAACCATGACTAGAAAAGCTTGTCAGTCATGGTGCCTTCCCTTTCCTTTCTGTGCTGCTCCTTGGCACAGGCAACAAAAAGAAAAGGAAAAGCAAGGACAGGGCAGCAAAGGAACCAAGATAAAAAAAGTTTGTCAGCCACAAGAAGCATGTCTTCTATATCCCATATCCCCATTGGTATCCCATTAGTGGGGACATTACTGGATTAATGAGAATATATTCATATCCCCCTTCTACCCCACCTATATCCCATGAATCCCTTCCTCCCTTCATATTGAACACCCATGAACGCCCTCTAGAAAGCAAGGTGAGGAGTGTCACCTATTTGGGGGCCATAGAATGAGGCTGTCGAATATGAACGAGTGATGCACACACACACACACTCTCTCTTCACCGGTGTCTACATGAAGCTACTTGCATCTGTAGTGCATGAAAACTTCCCATGGCATCTCTTTCTGCCAATCTTAGATACCCTGCAAAGAAAATAATTCTTAGCTGGTTAGTAGATAATTCCATTGATACCAAAAGACTAAAGGATTAGTTTCTACTCATCTAATATTGACCTAGTTCTGGTGACTTTGAAACATGCGGCGTCACGTCTTCCAAAGCTCTCAGAAATGCTTCCACGGCGGTGCCTTGGCAACGCCCTACATCAAGTGGTTCTGAGCCATCAAACAGCGTATGGAACAGGATCGAAAACAATAAATATCTCATAGAAACCCAGTTTTACTGTATATATATACATATACATATAATATAGAATCGACCAGAAACGAATTTCGAAAAAACGCACAAGTAACACAGGAACCAGCCTGCAAGAATTCTTCCAATTGCCAATCCTACATTCTCACAAAAGATCTCATAAATAATGCTGGTTGGTGGTTTCAACCCCTCAGAAAAATATGAAAGTCAGTTGGGATGATTCTTCCCAATATATGGAAAGTGAAAAAAATCCATGGTTCCAGTCACCACCAACCAGAAAATGTCCATGACAAAAGCATTGCAAAAAAACAAAAAACATTGAACTCCCCATGAATACTCCATTCATATATCCCCATGTCTTGAAGCCGCCCACAGCGTTCGCTAGATTTCCCACTCCTCCGCTTCCACTGCCAAAGTGCTGTCCACTTTTCCAGAGCCACGCGCAGGGCGTTGACCTGATTTGAAATAAACACACCAAGCGTTGAAAATCCGGGGATTGATATAGAATACATTCACTATTTGTTCACTGGCCATCTCAGGAGCCGATTGATTGGAGGTACCTACCTTTTTTTCAGGCCTACGCAAGGCCTATGTAAGGGGATATACGTCCTAACGTACCTCCATGTATTGGATCCTGGAATGACCATTTCACAGTGACAATAGCAAGATGAAATCGGGGGATTTTCATGTTCATAATGATTATTATAACGTTATTCTTTGGGAGTTGTATATAGTAAACATCCTAATTGTTATTATAGTGATGATAATTATAGTGAGGCAGAATATAGAATAGTAATGTTCATAGTGATTATTATTATACATATCCTAATTGATATAGAATATAGTAAAACTATGTAAAACTATTGTAGCATCCAAATTGGGTTATGAATGGTTTTGAGATGATATACAACCCACAAAAAATATCGATGAACATATCATCTTAGATCAGGGGATAGACGGTTATACCGCACCATCTTGGATTGTTTCTATAAACACGCACGTTTTTTTGGAAAATCGCACATTCTAGTAGCTGGACATTTGATCACCAACATTGAAGTTTAAACATACATATTACATATTTTTCAATGGGCTATTGATCTACTGCTCAAATCCAGGCTTTATTTCTGTGGAATACTTATGAATATGTTCAGTAACCAGTCTGATCAGAAACAAACTACAAGACTGTGTGCATGACGAATACCATCTAGTAACAACACAAATTCACAAAGCACAAACCATAAATTTTACGGTTGAAACCACCAACCAACATTCTTTCTCTACGGGTTTTCGAATGAATTTGGTCACGCAATCTGAAAATCAAGGGCAGCCCTAAGGTCAAACGAGTAGGATTTGGGCACCAACTTAAGCATTGCTGTTTATGTTGGTGGGGGTATCGAAAGCTTGTCGCCATGAAACAACATGCGAAAGCATGATAAAAATAAAGATGTCATTCAACACATTACTCACCATTTTTTATGGGAAAACTCACTATTTCAATGGTGATTAATGGTAATTAACGGTGATTTACCCTCTGATAAACTAACAGTTTGCTATTTTTCACATGGCCCACTCGAGATAGTTGATTTACCCATGAAACACGGTGGATCTTTCCATAGTTTTTTGTATGTTTACCAGAGAGTAAACATGGTCATCTTCTTCCTGTTGGTTGTTCTGTGTTGCGTCAAACCAACCGCCAACACAATTTTAACAAACAGTAACATTTTTGAGCATGTGAGAAACTCGGACACAGATCTTGTTTTGTGACTGGTACATGTCCACATCAGTCATGGTTCATTCTCTTAGGCCCCCTGAAAACCAATCATTTTCCTGCTATTTGTAAGAAGATCTCACATACAGTATGTTTATCCTGGAGCCAAAGTATATCCACAATTATTGATTTTTAAGGGTTTAACATTTTACAACATTGGTAATTGAGAGGGCCCCCATTCCAATGTAACTGGAATCGTCGAGTTGTGTCTACCGACGCCTCCTGACACATTATGAAATCCTTCATAACCTACCCCTCTCTTTGGAGCCAGTCAGTGAGTTGATATAACTATATTTTTCCGATACACCCCGGACAGTGACAGGGTCATAATCTGTGGTTTATGAGCAACTTACTAAATGGGAAGAAAAACGATCAGATCACTGGAAAATGCAGTTTTCTACAAGTTGAATCATTTACCTGTTTAAAAGTCATTGTGAATTGTTTCTGATTGTTAAAATCATGTTAAACCACCAATTGCAAATGCGTCTCCCAGGTTATTTCCACCATACAAAAAAAACACATGTTACCCTCTGGTAAACTAACATAGCTATTGAACATGGCCATTTATAGTGGATTTACCCATGAAAAATGGTGGTTTTCCATAGTTATGTTAGTTTACCAGAGGGTAAATCAATTCAAAGTCTTCACGAAAAATCCTCCATGTTGTTTTCCAAAATCCAATTGTTACTATTCATCATCCAAAGGAATCCCAGTCGAGGTGGTAGAGGATGGGGCCCCCAGTTGAGCGATAGCGTGAACCGAAACGCCTGGTTTATAGGTGACTGAATGATGCTGAATGAACTATGGTTTATGGTAGATATAACAAACTAGTTAATGGATGTTAATGGATGTTAATGGATGTTAATGGATGTTAATGGATGTTAATGGATGTTAATGGATGTTAATGGTGTTTATAAACCAACTTATAATTTGGGGGCCCAATCCTGTATGGTAGATATGTCTATTTTCAGGGTCACACACCTACTACGAAGGGAGAACCAAAACTACATCAGGGTATCTTTAACCTATTTACCCTCTTCATCAAACATTGCAATGGAAATTCACCTATTTATACTTGTTTTTCTCAGCAATCTCAAGTTCCATTTAGTTTGGCGATTTTACAGCTTGCCATGTGCTACCAGAAGGGCAAGTATCATTCTACTCCACGAGATCCTTATTGTAATCGTACATATCCTTTTATACAATTTCTACTGGTTGGTGGTTGAGCCACCCCTCTGAAAAAATGATGGAGTTAAAGTCAGTTGGGATGATGAAATTCCCAATATTAATGGAAAAGTCAATTCATGTTCCAGTCACCACCAGCCAGTGATTTTTTTCACCATTATTAACCATGATTAACCATCATTACCCCATACTAGCCATGTTCCAGTCACCACCAATCAGCTTTTTAATTTTCTAGTTTATTTTAGTTGATTGGATTTTCCATTTTCCACTTACTATTTTCCCCAATTGTAGTTTAATTTTCCATTTTCTAGTTGATTTTCCCAGCTATGTTTACATCCACTTACTTCGGGGATTGGATGACCCGGGTCACGTTTCCCACTTGAAATTCTCATGATATCATCATTTGTCATAGTAAAATCATCATTTCCCAGTATACTCCCATGATATTCCCATGATATTCCCACTATAATGCAAGGTGTTGATATCCCATAGCAAAACATGAAGGTTTCCTGAAATGGGGGTACCCCCAGTCATCATCCATTAAATTTTCGGATTTTCCATAAAATAAACCATCCATTTTGGGTACCCTCCTACCGCGCCTGGTTCGGCCAGCTGCACCCAGCGCGCGGTGTCCAGCCGCGCGAGCGAGCAGAAGGCGTTCACCGCCGCGGGGCCGTCGATGCGTTGGACGAAGCTCTGCAGGGTGTGGTAGAGGACCTGCGTTGGGAGAAAAATAGGGGGGTAGAAATCAGTGAATATATTGGGTGTTTACATAGTACACACCAATATTGGGTGTTTAATCATGTTTATTCAATAATGGTATAATGGCCAAAAATGGTAACCATAATGGCCATTGATTTAATAATGAATAATGGCCAACCTTAATTTATAATATACCTCTAATCAATGGCCATTTTAGGCACCTAAAATGCAGGTACCTACCATATATAAGGCCTATGTAAGGGCTATGTAAGGAGATATACCCCCAAGATATGGACTTATATAGTCAACAAACAATGTATACTGGTTGGTGGTATACCCACCCCTGTGAAAAATATGAAAGTCAATTGGGATCAAACTGAATGGAAAGTCATAAAATTCATGTTCCAAACCACGGACCAGAATCAGTGAATATCAATGAATACATAAGTTGGATGGGTCTGTGAACCAACTGATAACTTGCCCTCCAGAACTTGATGTATTACTCATCAAACTATAATGTATAATCGCCAAACACCCTAGTTATTGTTTTTTCAATCAACTTAGTTAACATAAATAACCTAGAAATCCCTTTGGATAATACCAATGACCTATAAATTGCCCAACAAGATCAATAACTAAGTAACTTAGCCAATATAAATCACCTATTAATCTCCATTCTTGTTGCTTGAATCACCATGTTTGCTGGCAAACGCACACTAAACCCCATTATAAAAATCACCAGAAATTCATATCCCTAACTTAAACCCTAGTTATTGTAGCTCCAAACTCCAAAGCAACTTAGGATCCTATTAAATCATATCAAATCACCATTTTTCATCCCGTGAAGAATCAACATTGGTGTGGGTGAAATCCCATTAACATCATATTACGATCCCATGACATCACCATAAATCAATGACCATTCCAGGATCCGATTGATTGGAGGTACCTACCATTAATATAAGGCCTAGGTTTGAGGCCTAAATTTCAGGGAATATCCCCAGAAAATATTGCCAGAAACGGGGTACTAGCGTACCTCCATTTTAGGATCCTGAAATTCCCATTGGATAAATGCCATGAAATTACAAGTTGTTGGTTGAAACCTATAAATCGCGCCTCGTGGCTGCCGGGTTTGTACAGCAAATCCTCATGCCCAGCTGAGGTTGGGACTTTGAAGCCAATATAAATATATATATTATATTATTGGAATGGATATAACCTCTGGTAAACTAACAGTTTGCTATTGAACATGGCCATAGAAATAGTTGATTTACCCAAAAAACATATTTCAAGGTCTATGTTAATTATTAATTGGGGGAAGGGTAACCTTTTCGCTTCACAATGAAAAATGACCAATTAATATAGCAAGGAAAGACTACAAGACCAAGTACTAAAACAACGAATATGGGCTTTTAGCAGCCAAACAGTTGGATTTAGATGGATTTAATAATTCTGGTTGGTGGTATACCTACCCCTCTGAAAAATATGAAAGTCAGTTGGGATGATGATTCCCAATATATGGAAAACAAAATTCATGTTCCAAACCACCAACCAGAATTAAATAAACATAGAGATGAGTTCGCCGCACTCCTGCTGGGATGAGATTGTCACAAAATGCAGCGGCTGACCACGGCACAGAAAAATGGCCCGAGATACCAGTTGTATCCTCTGGTAAGCAAACATAGCTATTGAACATGGCCATTTATAGTTGATTTACCCATTAAAAATTGTGATTTTCCATAGTAATGTTAGTTTACCAGAGGGTAAGCCAATGAAATAACATGAAATAACCCCATTTATGACATTATAAGCGCATTGACAAGCAGTTACAACTGCTATTTCCGGCCTTAACTGTAGAAAAAAAATGGTGTCACCACTGTCTTCGCCTCTGGCACGCTTTGAAAGGGTTGAGAGCCCATGGGCAGGTGGATCTTACCAACAAGCCTGATCTGATAGGTCAGTAGTGAGTCAAACAAAGTGGAGTCAATGAACAAAGTATACAGTATACTGGTTGGTGGTTTCAACCCCTCTGAAAAATATGACTTCGTCAGTTGGGATGATTATTCCCAATATATGGAAAATAAAATTCATGTTCCAAACCACCAACCAGGTGTACGTTCGAACCATTTCAAAGCCATATAAATTCACTGATGCTTGGATTAGACATTCTAACGCGGCAAATTTTCTCAAAACTCAACTCCAGGAATAGCACCTTTTTCCCAGCAAGCCGTTAGTTTTCCGAGCCAACTTCTTGGGAGTAAACGAACGTGAGTTGTATAAAAAGAAGGAGGCCACTTTAAGTTTTTCGGGACATGTAAGAATTACAAAGAAATCATGAGAATCAATGTGTGGCCTCCAAAAAAAATCCTGCTAATTTTCCCTTCGCCCAATCCAATGATTTACAGTATCCGTCGATGACCACTGTGAGTCACTGCCATGTGTCTAGGATACGAACATGGAATGTCTGATCTTTGTGAAATCTGTTCAATCTCTTTTTCAACTAAATCTACTAATAGCAGGTACATCGGTGTAAAGCATATTTCCTTGGACAACACATTTAAATATTCTTGGAAATTCGATTAACCTAGTTTCTCAATATCTTTGTGTTTGATTTTTGGTGGTTTTGCTCCTTGTAAAAAGCCTAAGCTTCGTACTTTGTCAATGGGTCAGAACTTCCGTTTTCAGATGGATTAGCGGATTACAACCCGGTCGCATTACCTAGAGGACCATCAAACCCAGGAATTGGCTATTGAGTGAGGTGAAAAGCCGCTCAAAACATTGGTTACCGCCCCAGTTCCTTATGGGACTGATCAACCAGAATGCAAAAGCAAAATTTGTTCCTCAAAAGAATCACATCAGTTGTGTCACAGCAAACGCATATGCATCCCAGTACAGTGGCTACGCTTGGATACCCTGCATTCATCTTTTAAAAAGTCTGGTGCATATATATATATATACATAATCATGTATATATATATATATCTATATATTATGCAAAATAACAAAGTCGTACTGTGGATGGAAGACCTCCTGCACCATTTGATATCTTAGCGAAAAGGATTTTAAGCATCCAAGGTGGTGCCGGATTTCACAACCATCCGCAGTATTGCAACTACCCTTCAACAATCGGTTAACCCAATCATTTCCCAATTGCTGTGCTGACTAAATCTGCATATATTTTGGTAAAAATCAGAAAATCGCACGTTTTGTTGCTTGAATCCACATGTTCGATGGCTAAACCATGTGCTGGTCATGTTTTTTTTAATGATCACATGCAACTCTTTATTGATAACATCACCATTTTTTGGTGGTGCAAACTAGATGGTACTTTGACATACACGTACCTTTGAACAATCACAATGTTCCTTGGTAAACCAATGAGATATTTTCTGTAGCTATGTTAAATCAATTACCGCGGGTATCGTCCAATATTCCATTCCATATTATTCCATCATATCCCACAAGTTTATATAAACATCATATTAACAATTGATCACCAATCATATCAGCCCCATCAAATAACCTTTTTGTAGGTTAAATTATACCTCCATGATTTTAATATCCCACTATATTCCCGGTATATCCCAATTTAATATTTAAATGGGGATATTTATGTAATTGGCATATTATCCCATAGCATATGTACTAGTATATTATAATATCCAGTTAATACACCATAATGAAATAATCATATATATATAATCCATATTATTCTCACTGTATCAGATTATACCCGCAGTCAAATACACATGTTGTGGGGAATCACTCCCAGTCAAAGTTTACATTCTCATTAAATTAATATCCGCAGTCCAATATTCCCATGATATAATATTACATCCCACCACAATGGATAATAGCCCCATTATTTTCCCACTATGCATATGTATATATCTCGATGTATATGTATAATTATATAATCACATATCATCACCGTTATATTCATATAATATTGCATTTTTAATTAACTCCCATTCTGGGATAATATAACCATGAATTATCACTACTATAGTCATATCAACCCCATATTAACTATGTCTTCTCGTTTTTTTTGATATCGCCGTCGCATTATAATATTGCACTATAAGTGGATCGTGTCCCCATAAATTATATCCTACTTAAGCGTCGTAAGTGTGTATACCCAATTGATTGTTTCATTATTCCATTCTTAATTAAACCCAATTATAGGAACCTATACCCATTAATCATCATTAAAAATAAGCTTAATGATCATTAATTAATCATTAATTATATGGTAATTATTTCTACCAAACAAGCCCATTCATGAAATTATCCCAGAAATCATCACCAAATGGTTCATTACATTGTTTTGAGCTTTCATTTGTTGTGAGGCAACCTTCCAAGATTAGGTCATTGATATTAATAGGTAGGTTTTCCTATAACTGGGCTTAATAATTATCAATATAGGTTATAGAAACCTATTAGTGGTGATGTTTATCATTAAGTTATAGGAAAATAATGGAAACAAATCACCACTTTCTTGGTTCCTCCACTTTCTCCGAAGTTCCAAGGCGCATAGATTCTTCGCTGGGCCCGAGAGCTGTCCGTCCCGAAGTCACGGAGATTGATCTGCGAATCGAAGGGGATCGCAATTTACAATGTGGCAGCCCGTTACCAGGCCCTGCTCACCAAATATGGGGGATTTAAACAACGGAAAAACGGCATTTAACCACACAACGTGGTGCCCCATAGTTAGCTAACTATGGTTTATGGTAGATATAACGAACTAGTATTCATGGGGTTTATAAACCAACAAACATCACTGGGGGGGCACCATCCTGCATGTCACCGATTTGATACCAAGAAAACATATGGGTATGGGTCAAAATTACGTACCCCAATAATTGGATGGTTGTTCTACTAAACTAGACATTCACATCTGTGGTCCCCTTAACGGTCTTCCATTTTGACCCACGAGACCATATGAAAACATGGGGATTTCTAAGGAGGATCATCCCTGAGGTTGCGTGGCTAGCAGCCATATTTGAAACACATTTAGCCTCTGGTTATGACTAACGTAGCCATGGAAAGATCCACCCATTTTTAAGTTCGGTAAACCATCTATTTCTATGGATGGACAATCAGATTTTTTTTTTTGGTAAACCATCTATTTCTATGGGCCATCTATACCATGGCTATGTTCAATAACCAGAGGATAATTATAGATGGTAAGTGGAATGATATGGAATGAACATCCGAGTATCTCCAAGTATGGTTCCCCCCCCAAAAAAACATATTCATAGTCCATTCATATTGCAAAAATATTCCATTAATATCTAATGGGAGTTTGCCGTTGAACTTCCATTTAATTGTACAGTTATGGCCCTTAACCAAATAGAAATCGTGTTATAACGCCTGCAACTACGCTGAAAAACATCACTTCAATATACTTCAAAAAGGCGAGTTAGCCAATTATAACTGTGAAAAGGGCTAAAACATCTATAACATCTATATAACTGTAGGGATTCCCCGAGAATATACCAACCATATCAACCATCCAACCAACTAATGTCAACCCCGGATTAACAAACAATGGTTTATTGATTAGGGGGGTACTCCTCCAATAGTCAAAATCTAGTACTTAAATGGTACCCTCCCAATTAAACAGCCGGTTGGGGTTTATTCATCCAGGGTTGACATTAATCCAGGGTACCCTCTGGTATTTATATGGGATAATCATCTTTATAATGGGATTATATACCAATAATAGTGGTTAATGATGGTTAATGGTTATAGAATTTAACATCCAGATCCATTTTTGTTAGTTTAATCCAGGGTTGACAGTATCCAACTCTCATAGACCATGGTGACGGCCCTGCGGCCCTACCTGGACTCTCCATCTGCGGCATCGGCGTAGGCGTAGGCTGCGAAGCCACGGAGACATCGCATCGCGCCTGACGAATCCACCGTTGTGTCGTGCATGAGAAACCAACCAACATGGGGATCTGGTTGGTGGTTTTAACCACCTTGAAAAGTATTATATTAGTCAATGGGAACGATTATCCCATATATTATATTATATTATGGACAATAAAACATGTTCCAAACCACCAACATGGGGATACATGCAGTTAAAACCCTTTACCAGTTCTAAATGATTGTCAATGTTTTTTTAATGTCATAAATGAGGTTATTTCATGTTATTTTACTGACTTTTAACTAGGAAAGGGCCATAACTGTGGGGATTTCACCAACCGACAGATGTTGAAATATTCTGAAATAAGAGCTAAATATGAAGAGAAATTTAAAGAGTCACCCAGTCAATGTGAACCCGTATAATCCACCAAAAGATGCAAGAATTGGGTACAATCCATGTGAACAATGGTGGGCAATTGACTCTTGTACCTTTTTGGGTCTGCTTTTGACACTCTTCGTTGGTCTGCTTGGTGCTTTGCAGCAGATTCCTGCAAAAAGTTGGTAATCTGCAAGAGGTTCCAAGCTCTTCGCCCTGAATTTCTGGTTTTGGAAGTTAAAAAAACATAACACCGCCAAGCAATCAATATTTTTTGATCGATGACCAATTGGAGTCAATATTCCAATAGAAGTGGTTTTCAAAGAACCAAATGGTTGTAGGAACTTGGCCAGTATCAAACATCCCCTAAAAATCATGGGATTATCCACCATAGGCTCGAAAAATTGGCAATTGATGATACTGAGCTCACCAACTGCTGTGACAAAATCTTCACAGCTGCCGTGGGTAAAACAAGGTCATAAATAAACCACCCATTTTTCTGGGAATGGTACGTTTATACCACCTACAAATTTATGGTGATGGCTCGGGGATGGTAAACATGGCGTTGTTTGACCCACATTGCGGATAATCACCCCAAACGCATCCCCAAAACTCCATCCGCCCATCCGCCGCGAGAAAACCATCTTCCGAAATATCGACATGACCATCTCCGTGGATGATTGGTCCAAACTGGAGCACCACATTGTACCATCACCAATTGGGGATTTCCATAATTGGGGCTACCCATATAAATGTATGTTTTTTTTTATGGAAAATCCATCTATAAATAGATGATTGAGGGGTACCCCTACAAGGTGGTGCCCCCCAGTTATAAGTTAGTTTTAACCCCCATTAAGTACAGGTATATCTACCATAAACATCCATAAGCCCAAGTGACTTGGAGTTTAAAATCAACTTAGCTAACTATGGGGCACCACCTTGTATGACTTAGGAAATCACCAATTCAAACAAACAAACCATGGCCGCCGCCAGTGACACACGGACATTTTTTTGCGCTGTAGGCATCTGCCAGGGCCTGCGATTCGGCGGGCCCGTTATTCCTACAATTCCTACTGACACAAACACAGGAACGAAACACAAAAACGGGTTTTTAACATATTACTCTCCTGAAAACCAACGTAGGGCGGGAAAAATAAAGGGTTCCATGTTAGTGCACCCATGTTCAATTTCATGAGCGGGATAAGTGCCAGGTAGGTGCCATGTATGTGTTGGATGTGTTGGTGAAATTTGATATTTTCGGGCACTTTTTGGCTACTTGTCATATTAACATAGACCCCCACAAGCTGCCATTTAGTGCCTCAACCAACAGTTCCATGTTAGTCGCCATTTTCTCGTTGTTTCCCTCCCGTTGTGTTCCCCCGTTGTGGCCTTCCATGGCCTTCCCCGGTTACCTCGTTGTGGATACCCCGTGTTACCGGTGAAGTGGACCCCTGCACCCACGGCCTCTAAGGGAACCCAGCTTGGAACCCGTTGTGTGTCCCCGTGGCATACAGACGATAGGATTCTTATCGCCTGTATTTCTTTTTCTTTTGTATATGTGCATTTAGTTGATTTTTCAAAAAATAATAGCATGGTAGGTTTCTCTTGCAAAACATTTAGTTGCATTGAGGCCGAGCCCCCCCGAAACGCACCCCTTGGACCTGGTAGGTAAAAAGTCTAGTGCTCAACCAACAGTTCCGGGAAGGCCATCCAGTTCCCGGAGTCATCAGCCATTCAGTTACCGGAGACAAAGAAAACTTTCAATTGATTTTCCACAATTTGTTGGGTGCCATGTTTAACTATGTTTAACTGGTATTGCGATGGCTCCACCCAAGTTCAAAGCATGATACCGTGAGTCCGTGAGCGCAATACGAAGTGAAAAGTAGGGTCGCCCAAAAGTCACTAACATGGAATTTTCAAATAGAACGCCTTGAAAACCACTTGGGTTCCAAGTTAAACTTAAAATCACCCTTCAAGGTTGCAGATCGCTTTGTGATAACTTGTTCAAATTCCATGTTGGCTGTTTCAGGGTGCAGTTTGGATTCAGTTTGGGCCTGCGCTGGGTTCCATGTCAGTTTTGGAGTGATTTTATTTAACAAACATAATTAAGAAGCTGTGGGGCTCAACCTTGCAGCGGTTCAGCTTGTGCGACTAAGAGCCCGTACTGATCATCCTTGCCATGGCCACTTGATTTGAGACCTCTGCGATGTTTCGCACCCACGCCGGTGCGACCCCTGTTGGCGATTTTGTGGTCTCTTCTGACCTCATGTTGAGTTCGGTACTCTACTTAAAGTTGACAACTGGAGGAGAAGAGACAACTCATTAAACTGATTCCCCTATACTTTATACTATACTGGTGGGTTTATGGATTATTAAATTATGGCCTTGAGTTGCAGAACGACTTCTTCAACTCCAGGGTGCATGTCTTGTTTGGCGCCTTCGACCTGGGTAATCTATTGTCTCCTGGTTGCGCGCTGCTTGTCATTTCGAAACGGGCGTACCTTGGGAAGGCGCTGATGGAAGGGCATGTACCCTCTGGTTATGACTAACATAGCCATGGTATAGATGGCCCATTTATAGATGGTTTACCGAACTTAAAAATGGGGATTTTCCATGGCTATGTTAAATAACCAGATGGTATTCATTGCTTGTCTGTGTTCCGTGACACCATCGCGAATTAGCATATTCTGTCGTTGAGCTTTTGCCAAGTTTTAATTTAGACTGTGAGCCATTCCCTTTGCCACAGCAGCATGGACGGGATTTTGGTTCAAAATGGCCTGGCTCACTCTTTGCCACTGGCTTGCTCGGCACGCCCGTGCCTTTTCTAGAATTGTTTCTATCTCGGCCTTTGGCTTGTGGTTGGCCTCTCGTGGTCAGTTGATATTTTGTGATTTGCTTTGCACGGCGGATTGGCCGCCAAACATGGCCACCATATGCCACCATGGTATGGGCCTTAGCCTTGCTCCGCGCGAGACTCAGGTGGCGTGTGAATAAACATATTTTTAAAAAATAGTTGCATGATTTCCTTGGGAACAGTCCACTTGAGACCGTACCATAGGTTCATGTTAGGGGACTTCAGGAATAGCATACGTTCCATGTGCGTTTAATCAATGAGGCTTTTGAGATATACCACCAACAACTAAGATGATCTTTGTTGACTTCATCATTGGCAACCATCCTGGCACCATGTCTGGAATTGATGCTTACTAACGAAGATGGGTAACCTCCTGCAATCTAGCATGGCAATGGGAACCCCCCCCAGTTACAAATTATTTTCTCATTAAGATATCCATTAGGCTATTCCGTATTTTACCCATTGCCGTGTTTGATTGCCAAAGGGTAATAACAGGGCCACTCATACTTTGGTGCTTACGATGTTTCAAGATCTGCATGGGTGTCTCTGAAAGTCAGTTGTGTGGCCCCCGGCCATGGCAATGTTTCAAGTTTAAAGGGTTAAAGTATGATGTACAACTGGATTTCGCGCTGCAGTGCCCCATTTTCAGACAACCCAAAAGAAATGGAGAAATGGAACATCATATCTGGTTGGTGGCTTTAACCATCTTGAAAAATATTAGTCAGTTGGGATGATTATTCCCAATATATGGAAAAATAAGACATGTTCCAAACCACCAACCAGATATTTTACGGAAAACAGCACATTTGGCAATCAGCCAACTCAGTTGTGCATGTTGCTTACATCCTGTTGAAAAACAGTGATAAGCTAGGTTTCCTATAGCGGATCCCGTCACCATTGGTTTCAATACAAAGTCATGGTCTAATTTAGGAAACCTCCTAAGACAACCGTATTTGCAGCAGTTCTTTCATCCCATGGCCATAACTGGCAAACAGGGCCACGATCAGCTATAAATCCCATTCAGTTCCTCATTTTCTTGCTTAAATCACATTTTCTTATGCTTTTCCTATGGTTTTCCTATGGTTTTCCTATGGGTTAGCCATGAAGTTTCAACTGCACTCACCCCACCTTGGATGCCTCATCACCCACGACAGCCACCACCTTCGAGCTGCTCGGGCACCACTGAGCAAGGGAAAAACTCTATTTTGAATATGATAAGGGTATTTATTCATCCATATAGAACCCAGTGAGGATCCGTGGTTTATCATCCACAAACAACCCATATCCCATTAATGATATAACATATATCTGGGTAAATTATAGTAATTCACTAACCTGAAACTTGCGGTCATTTGGGGATAGTTACCCCTACTAACCATCATTCCCAGTGAGGGAGAACAGTGAAGTCGCTATAATTTACCCAGACATATATAACTGCAGGATGGTGCCCCCCAATTATTAGTTGGTTTATAAACCCTCTTAACTATAGTTATAGGTAGTATCATAAACCATACTTAACCTAGTTATAAACCAACTTAGCTATCTAGGGGGCCCCATCCAATATGGATAACTATAGTAATTAAGAAACTATAGTGAATATAGTAACTAGGAAGAAAGTTATATTATACCTGGTTAAAAATATCATATAAACTAATAGCAATGCGCAAGCCTGAAATATGACCATTTGGGGATAGTTACCCTTACTAACTCACCATCATTCCAGGGACGTCGCAGTCACGTCGTCATAATCTAGCCAGATCATATCCACTTGAATGAAACATATAGATGATGTTTCCATCTTTGTTATATCA